ATTTGGATATAGATCAAGTGCTGCCGAGTGAGCAATTGGTGCTATTTTTGTCTTTGAATATAGCTGCAAATTTGTTCACGACGCTGCGTGACTCGCTACAGACAATATGAATGTGTGGTAAAGTGCTTTTGAAAAACAATAGACCTAGCGGTTGGCAAGGTGAAGGGACAAGGAGCCACCATCAGGGAGGGGTCGACAAAGAAGATAGCGCTTCGATAGGGGTCAACGTTTCCTGCGAGAAGGGCCCGGAAGACCGATTGAGGGGAAGACCGTTACCAAAGAATCTATCAAGTGGTACTGACGAAAAACGACGTGGTCTCCCATTGGTAGACCCGTTCTCTCAGCGATAAACCTAGACCCATCACTCGCAGACCCTCTCCCTCACCGGTAGAAAAGGGTCCCGTGCTGGTAGACTCGGTCCCTCAAGGTCCGTCTACTCCTGACCAGACCTATAAAGCGTCAGTGCCCCGGGGAAGAAATATGTGGAGAAGTTTAGGGGTAGTACTTTATCGAAATATAACGAATTTTCGATTCAGTTGGCAAGTCTTCCTCGTGTTTAAATGAACTTTCACTTGGTCTTTACGCCTATTCCTGGGACGAGATATACTTTGCCCCCCTCCGGTGAAGACAGTTGCGTAGCAAGACCGAGTGCAAGCAGATCCCCGAGAAGTATTTGGTCTGTGGGCTCGTCAAGTGGAGACCACCCTCCAATCCGCTATCGTAAGAGTCCTCCCAACCTAGCGGTAAGCTAGCACGGTGAAAGCCAGGATGCTAACACCCCTTTGGTTACACCAAAAGTCAAGAGCGACAATCTACCTGTAGGATATAATTATACGTCCACTCTCGAGCAAGTTGATTGAGTGGCCACCTACCGGCCCACCGAGTGAAGAATATCCACTTGGGGCCCAGGGTCTACCTATGGCAAGACAACACATCTCATTCTCCGCCCTAGTCTACCGAAAATGCAACCCGCCAGCTTATGGGTAAACAAGATGAGTCAAGGTTTATACGTGACATTGTGGTACCCCGCTTAAGGAAACAGTCCGGCACAGTGAGTATTTGGGGGATTATCACGCGGTTTTGAGACCCCACTTCACCATAAATGCTGCACTTCTCTCCCGACCACATTACGATTCCACTTGCCGGTCGAAAACAGTATTATGAGTTGACTTATTGTCCATATACTTTATTAATTCTGCTGTGAAACGTCCTGGGTAAGCTGGTGTAATGAGATGCTCCATCTGGACATGTCCGATATGACGTCATTGCGCACTCGTTCCACGCACGTTAGTAACAAGTTCCTGAAACTGTGATTGTTACATAAAGCTTGAGTCTCCACATAGTGAAATAAATTAGCCAATTCTCAGGGAATACGAAAAGTTAAGCGATTGGTATGGTCACCACTCCGATAAGTAACATTGTCGACAACATATTTTTCAGCACAATCTTGCTCTTTATTCCGCAGTATGCGCGCATCAGCTCATTGTAAGCTGCAACGACTGTCTCTGTGAAGAGACGATCCCGTCCACATGACTAATTGGATTAGATACATTAAAAGAACCCTACCACTAGAAAATATGACACACGCGACGTGTCTACTTTGATATCGTTCATATGTTTATTTTGTTTATCGGGATGTCGCCATGTAATGTATTTGCATAAACGCAATTTGACAGATTTAAGAGTTGCTAAGCGAGTGTATCTAATCATAAATTACACTTGAGCAATTGTATATTTGCCAAAAATCAAATTATATGCCACTAAATTTAGCTGAATAGAATTTAGTCTTATATTAACAACCTAGATTGCAATTTCTCGCGAGAAGCCGAGATCCCGCTTCAGCGTAGCATACGACAGCGTTTGTACGGGAAGCCAGGATAGCACCTTATGGAATCCTAATGATTTCCCTCGAACCACTACGTGCAAAGAAAAGACGGTCAAACTTGTTGCTTGCGCGGGCAAAAAGGTGTGTGTTGGTGTAGTGTGCGTGATAGATTCAAGAGGCACCCGCCTCCGGTATCAAGAGTCGTTCTTTTCTAACTACTAGAACGGTTATACCCATACCTGCCGACCATGGGACTCAGCACACAGCTAAAAATTTCAGTATGTATTTTTGTAGCTAGTCAAATGTTTATAAAAAAGCAGCAAGTTGAAGCAGGCTTTGTGCTTCATTCTGACTGATGGAGCGTATGAATTGACTTGGATGACATCCTATATCGATTGTTGTTCTCCTTGCGTACCTTAATGATCGGGGTGCCAGGATTGCATTCCTGGGCACTATGTGGCGTGAGAAGGATTCCCATCCCACCTTGAATGGACGAAAGTAACGTGTTCGGTACAACCCCTTTCGTTTCATCGCCTCCGCTGCCGTATTGACGTATTTTTATGTGTACACCAATCCAGAGGTCGTTGGAATAGAGGCCGATGACGACATGCCGTCGCACAGCGAGTCCGAGAGCTCGCTTCACATCCTCAAACATTATGGGTGAAGTAGTTTATGTCAAGACGATGCCATGGGTCATGCAACTTTGGTGGAATTGTAGAAGGCTCTTATTCCTGGAGCAAGCGCAGACGGACGTGGGCACAGGCAGTAGCAATAGACACTGATCGAAGACGAGCCTCCATTTCGATAATACGAACCACCTTAGTACTTCAAGACGTACTGCTCATCCACAGGAGCTAGATCTGTAGAGAAAGGATGGCGAGCGTTCCATAATTAACTTGACGGACTCCGTCCAAGCATCATTCCGATAACACCGCGGACAGAATTTCGAGTGCCATACATCTTTACAGCCATAAAGCAATCAAATTGAGATTGAGCACAACAACAAAAAGCACAAAAAGCCTCCGGAACATAGAAGAATTGATTGTCCTTCTCTTTCAAGAAAAAGACTGCGATAACAAGTGATGGTGTTAACCTTAAAAAGAAGGAGACAATAATGGCATAACTCCAATTAGAATTTTTTGCCACAATGTAAGCTTTGATAGGACCTTTTAAATAGTCAATTTTGTTGTACGGTATTTCAAAATGATACGCACCTTTTGTTTAATATATTTACATTTTTTAGGTTAGCGGCGCCAATAACACATAATATTTTTGATGCAATACATCAGCTCATTTCGCAACTAAGCCTGACGCCGATACATGTATACAGCCCTTGCGAACACACACTGTATGTTTTGGATTGATTTAAGACCGGTCGATTATCTAGGAGCCGAAAACAGATATAGCGGAGCTAGTGCAGCTCCTAGCCAGAGGAAGGCTTTCTGCTTGACGAGCAAGCTAGTTCTTTACAATAAGTCGACTCTACAAGTCAACGATCTTAAAGCTCCAGGTCTTCTTTAAGGGACGTAACGATTCGGCGAATCGATTGCACAGTGTGCTCAGGAGTCTATGTCTTAACAAGACTCGACTCTGCTTACGACTTGAGACGCCTTAGAAAGGCACGTGTCTCTAATAGATCAAAAGGGGAACTGAACCTTAATTTTTTATATAATAGGGCACCTTTGACTAAACGTACCTGATTTAAACACTAAGGCTCTAATTCGTACCTTTTTAGGACTTGTATTTGGTGACTGACAAACGTCAGCTCCAAACAACTGATATGGTGTTCTAATATAATTTTCAATGGGATCTCATCCCTGTTGTGAACCGCACATTAGATGCCGTCTACCAACCGATGTGTAATGCCAGCTACCAACCGATGTGTAATCCCGTTGCAAAAGAAATATTATAGTCCGCAAAGCACGCCTTCTTTTACCTACATATGTGTATCGACGCGTTATCCTACTGAAAATGTAGTCCATCACCATGCAGATCGTCCCCAGAAGTTAAGAAATATCTTTCTAGTGTCTTTACGTACTTTTCGCTGTTCTGCTTCCCCTCATGGATAGCCAACATGCTTGTCTTAGTCCCTCCAAGCGCGCGACTCAAACCATCATGACTGAGCCACCACCGGATTGACGAGTCGAAAAAACTGGCTTTTCTTCCTCACGTCGTGTCAATGGCTTTGGAAAGTATCTAGTGCATTCAGACTAAACTTCTTTGCGCTTAAAAAAATAGCTTTGGTCAGTCTTCATCGTAGAGACGTTTACTTTAGCACAACATTTAACACGAGCTGTCTTGTGCCTTTCAGGAAGCATTGGTGCATGTTTGTGCCTGCGAAACTAGAGCGTAGGGCTTTCTTTTAAGAACTACTTGACTCTGGAAATACTTACAGGGATTTCCAGACGCGTTTGAAGCTCTCATGAGGATGATTAACCCTTCCCGAGCGACACGGGGAAGTCGGCAGCGAGCCATTCAGTCAAAGCTGCTGGTCTACCGGCTGGTTTGTACGCACTAAATACGACAGCATCGCTCAAGAAGCGTTTAACGACGCTTCAATGTCACCCGACGCGCCGATCAATCTCTCGATGACTCATTTTCGTCTCATGTATGGCTATCACTGTTCCCACCTCTTCTTCCGTCAATTTCTTGCCTCTCGGCATGCTGTTGCAGAAAATGAGACCATACATAGTAGCGTTAGCAAGCAGGTATTGCAACAAAAGCGACTGAAATGAATCAATACCGTGACGGTGACATATAACGCGGCGTTGCTTAGTCCATCTACCATTCTTGTCCGACCCCCTCTGCGCTTCTTGGCGTTCGTCAGGCTGTAGGCCTCCAAATGTAGAAAACGAGGTCGTTAAATGATCCTCTCGTCCAGCGCGGCCATTAGTGATAACGATGCCCTTGTAAGTGATTTCTTTTTGTTGATGAGTTGGGCAGTGCTGGTGGCCCCATCATTCCTGTCCGCGCTGTATTGGACAGCACGAAGCCGTATCCAATCGTCAGTAGTGTCGTGATGTACAGTTTACGCGCGAGCGTATTTCGTGTTCATTGTTTTCGAGTGGCGAGTGCTGTGGCAATAAGATAGATCGTAAGGCCGTTTTCATACTACTATTTCCATCACGGCCGTGCCCCGAAGATGCACTTGGAATTCACTATATTGCTTCCTTTGCTACCGTTTGTTCTCAGGTTTGGGCTCGTGATACAACAAGAGCTCGTCTAGACTCACGAACGTGAACCTGCGCGTCAGCACAGGAAGAGCTGTCCTCAAGACACCGATTGTCCACGACCGATCGTGCACAATGATCACAGACCCGCAGCTTGTTCGCGCCCGCAGAAAGATCGAGTTGATAGTCTCCGATCGAATCTGCGCGTCGTGCGGGTACACACTGCCCAGACAGATGCGGTACTTATGACGCGTCAGAATCTCTCGCATGGGTGTCGTGAACCAACCCGAGGCTGGACGCGTCCACTTGCTTCTCGGCCGACCCGCGTCGTCTTCTCTTGTCCCGTTAGTCGCGTTCGCCTTCCGCCGCGCCTTCGTCGGTCGACCCTGTGCTGGCAACAGCTGCTGCGTCTTCAGTGGCGTGAGCAGCTCGTCGTCGTCGTCATGATCGGCTGCGGGTTGAAAGTGGTCGATCGCGCGGTCGCACTGCAGCAGCTTGTGCTCAAACACGTGGAGCTCGTCCAGGATGCTGGCGCGGTCTTCCGTGAGGTGGTTCGCGAGCGTGTGGCCCTCGCGCACGATGCGTCGCAGCACCTCTTCGTTGCCGGGAATAAAGTCCGAGATGATAAAGAACGTGGCTCGGACGCCGTGATCGCGCAGGACGTCGAGGATCGCGGGCGTCGCGGGCGACGGCGAGTCGTCGACTGTCAGCGAACAGACGCGCGCCGACGTCGAGACGCTCCAGAGCACGGACGGGTGCGACTGCCACTTGAGACAGCGCAGCAGCCAGTGGGGCAGGAGGTACGCGGACGTGAGCAGGACCGCGATCGTGACGACGAGGCAGAGGCTACGGAGGGACGCGGCGTAGGGTACGGCCACCGACTCGAGGGGGTCGCGAGGGCTGTGAAGTGCGGGTGCAGGCAGCACAGCCAGTGCGAAGGACAGCCGCATCACGTCCGACGCGGCCTCGAGCGTTGTGTGGTCGTGGATGTGGATACGTTTTTGTTTCGGCGTGATATGACGTGGTGTACGAGTGGTGTGGTCTGCGTAAACTGCCTCGACCGCACCTCGATATGACGCGTCATAACTGCTGCGACACGCTGACGGTAACGGGGCACCAGTAGCGTGTGTCGCGACTCGATTGGCTGGTGCGGTATGCGTTCGTGCCGGCCGAGTGTCCGAGTGGGTCGCAATGGAGAGACACGTTCAGGAGCAGCTGCGGGACACGAAAGGCATTGAGCCAGCGGTGGGACTGCCTGGAAGCTGCTCGCGCATCCAATTAGTCGACAGAGAGAGAGACAGAGAGAGAGACAGCGAGCAAGAGAGAGAGGGGAATTGAATCTACCAACACGCATGGGATCAACTCGTCTAGAGAAACTTGGCCACGCCGTCTTGAATCGACTCGAGCGAGAGCTCGGCCGCGTCCGTCGCCGTCAAGTGGATGCCCACGCCCACGAGCACGCGCTTGATCGCCTCCTTCGACGACGCGTACAGCATCTTCGACTTGATGCGCGCCGTGTCGGGCGACCTGCACACAGTCAGCAGCGCAGACAATGAGCCACTTACCTCCCACCCACTCCACGACACACGAGCAAACCAGACGACACACACACACACAACTGCCACCGGCTGCAGCGCGCCGAGCCCACACACACACACACGTACGTACGTACCACGAGAGAAAGACAATCTTGCTGGTCGGACGCCCGTCTTTCGTCGTCAAGTCCAAGTCGACGACCGCGTACCGGCACTCGCTCGTGACCTGCGACAACTTGTCGGCCATGTCCTGGTACGACTCACTGCTGGGGCCCGTCGAGTCGATCACAATCTCCGAGTCGTTCACGATCTTGTAGATAAAGTAGCGGAAGTCGTGCGGCGCGCGCTTCAGCTTAAAGTCGTTGAACTGCGTGATCACTTCATCGTCGACGCCGACACCGGAAGACTATGGACAGACAGGTAGAAAACAGACACATACACACACACACACACAACAGGCAGTCAGTCGGATCACATGGGTACATACACGCACGGAAACACGTGAGCGCTCGAGAGAGTGGGAGAGCCACGAGCTGATCGCTAGAGACAGAGGCGAAGCACTGCGGTCGGCTGCGCGACGCACCATAGCAGTAGAGTTGCGAGAGGGGGCGAAGGAGTAGTGGAGCGGCCGCAGATACTTGGGGCAGGTGGGTGCGGGTCGACCAAAGGCGGAGCGTTGGGGAGTGGAGAAGGCGGGGGACGTGGGGGCTCCCCCCAAGGCGTTCGGCGTATCGCCGTCGATCTCTGCCTTAAAGTATGCAAGTTAGATGTCAGCTCTCTCCCCTCGTCCGCCTCCTGCTTGTCCAGACGACAGTGTATATGTATGTATGTATGCATGTATGAATGTGTGTGTACGTATAGTACACACTTCCATACACACACATCACACACATATATAAATATATCCCCATCGTCAATTCGAGCTCTTGGTCCTATCTGAAGTCTCACTCGCTGTTTTTGCCCGCGACGACCCCACTACTGTGGACGCCGTCGTCGATCGTCCTATTGATGTGAAAGATGTCCGTGTGTGTCTACCCCCGACAGTGCGTTGTCATAGAATGCTGTCTGAACACACGACCGTGGACTGAAGTTGATGGTCCTTTTGTAGCGGTGCATGTGGGAGCGCGCCCTGTTGTATACGCACAGCGTGCGACGATGCGTCAAACTCGTGTCTTGAGCTTTTGCAGCTTTGCCGCATACTTCGTCGTAGAGCCCATAGCGTCTACTGCAACACACTTCGAGAGAGAATGCCGCGGTTTTGGACGCCAGGACGTAAGCTCGTAGCGGATTTGAGACACCTTTTCGCACCGCCAGCCCACAAACGACAGCCCACAAGCGCCTTGTCGTGTCTTGGCGCACAGATGCAGGAGGAGGATTGTTAGCTGTACGGACTGCGCTGATTTGTCCAGAACGTGTCGCTTTCGCGTCACGTTGTAACGACGTGACGTCAACGCGGTAGAAAAATGCACGAGTATGGTAGATAGCCGAAGCAAAGCGTCGTGGATGAAGCTGCTATTTGTTGAATGATTGCTACGGTGTATCGAACAAGGAGTCCGGATTGTCAAAGGTGGATCAAACACTGTAGCTGCATGTTCGTTTACGTGCAGTGTACGCGCAGTTGTCAGGATGCAGTCACTTTTAAGTCGATCCACTGTCCACTGTCCTTGCACTTCTTCGGTCAGACAAGGTAATGTGCGTGGTTGGCACAAGTTGACAGCTTTCGCGAGTGACTCAGACGTAGACTGTTTGACAATGCGTTGTGGCAGGGTCAGTAGTATTTGGACTCGCCTTCAGTACGCCTTTGTGTGAAAAGCGTTCTTGTCAAGTAGGTGTCGACTGGTAATTAGGATCTGTGCAAGTTCGATCACCGGTGGCTGATGTTTCGTTGCAGCTGATCTGCGTTCTTCCTGGTGTATCGACGCGCATCGCACCGCAGCTTTACAAGTGCATTGCGTCATGTGGCGTCATGAGCACATCAGCGAAAGCATCGCGATCTAGTCAAGGAAAGCACAGATAGGCCTCGATTGACTAGGTCGCGATGCTTCAGTCCAGCCATTTAGTCTTCTCGAAAGAGGTCAAACCGGTCAGATGCTACCACTCGTGGATGCATCTCATGCCATTCACTTGTACGATTCTCCGTGTGAACTTCATTGCATAGTGCACGCAAGTGCGCACGATCAAGCGCATGTACATGAGCTCAACTCAGTGGCCGATCAGCTGCCTGCTTGCACATCGAACATACCAAGCTCTGACAACAATCGTGAGCAGAAGAAGGAACTAGTGCCTTGTCCGATCTTCCGGGGTGACGTCGGACACGTAAACACGTATCGACTTGCTGTGGGCTGTGCCGATACACATGTGCTTGCAATGATAGCCCACATGCCAACCTCTGCTGCTCCCAATCACTCGGTGTTGACGAGCTTTGTATGAAAGGGTCAATGGCTCAATGGTCACAACTTATCGATGCCCCCGGTCGGCCACGTACCAGCTGCTCGCTCTTCGGGTCGGAGGTGATGGGTAGAGCTGCTAAACAACTCGTGCGTCGTAAGTTAGCTATGCAGGCGAAAACAAGTCGACATGAGGACGCCGCTGTCCTTATCACCACAGTACTGAATGTGTACGCATTGCATTGCAGTCGATTGTTCCTGTGCCTTTGCACCAGATGCTGTTTCGCTCGGCTCAATGACGTCGGCAACTACACACTGATGTGCACCGCCACAACTCCCCTCAGCCTTATGTTGGCCAAGTTTTGCAGTGGGACTGGCGAACGGACGTGAATCGGGTGTGCTCATGCACTTGTCGTCTTGACGGCAGTACAAGTGACTAGTCCCGCCACAGCCGTTCGGTCAGACCTCTGTCGTCGTGCACTTCGATCGAGCAGAACACTGTGCAGCGCTACATTTGATGCCAAAGTCAGCAGACATTGACAGTGTCGCACTTGTGTATGGCGTCAAAGTCTCACCGCGACTTCTACAGTTGCCATCACGCCCGAGCTGAGGATATGATGCATGCGAGGCGTCGAGCAAAACGTCATAGCGCGCAAACGTCGCCATGTATACTTGATACGCGCTCGTATACGGTCTCTCAAACGTTGGCATACCCTCGAATCGTTGTTGTCAAACGAGAGGTACATTGAGGTACGTTCTCGACCAGCAATACCCTATGCAGAGAGCCTTGCTATCCAGTGTCGCTATCTAGTGTAACCCAGAGGGCAACGACGCGAAGAGCAGTTCTCCTGGCCACATGTCAGTTGACGCTCTGCCGATGCCCTGTCGCAGAACTACCCTCAAGTCGTGGGTCATGCATGGGGTGTACGGCAACTAGAACCACCAGTTTACGTGCACGATCGACGACGCCGTCAGAGCTCCGATACGCTCATCCAAAGCTTTCGTAGCTACTTGTGCTGTCGTGTACGTTTGTGTAGCCAACTTAGAGCATCGCACACGCGTCGTGTCAGGATCGCGCACATGCGGCCCGACTGCTGTAGTACATCCCATCAGCAGAAGCTCCGAATGCAACAAACTTTGTCATATCAGCTCGCGTCGTCGACGCGGTCCCGCTGTCTCAAGATGCACCAGCCTATGTCTAGAGTTGCACCGTGCTCGGCCTTTAGCTCTTCCAACGGGTTCTTGCTTGCCTACCACTGCGAATTTGTCCTTGTCTTCTGATGGACAGACCGGTCGTATCTCCTACGTATTGTCTGCTGCTGCACATCGGCTGTCACGCTGCAGTCGTGACCGCAGTTTCCTCACGACTTTCAACTTCACTTCTTCTCTTCTTCAGGACTCGGGCGAACGAATCGGACACATTGTGCTGCGGCTCCTACTGCTTCTTGAAACTCACAACACCGCTCTTCGTCTCTGTCTTTGTGGACTCTTTGCGGCAGTTTGAGCGCAATGAGATGCGTCGAGAAAGTTCCAGGAGTGCGGCTGTTTGCGCTCGATTGGCCCATAACTTGTTCGGTGAGACTGTTACAACCGGCCGCGAAGTCGCACGCCTTCCTCGCTGTTGCCTGCTACCCGTATGCAGCACATCCACACTTTCGAGTCGATGCTTTGCGTCGATCATAATCTTTCACGATGTTTCCCCTCCACGTCTTCGACGCGGTTTGTCATCGAGCATTTGCAGGAAGACAGGCCTCGACGTGCTATCGTATTGGTAGTACACCTTTGCTCTCGTACTGTGCATCGTCAGCTCTGACGAAGACTACGCAGACTGTACACATCATTCAAAGTTGTCTGAGCTCTGTCTGCACTGACACATGTCCGGCTGCGCAGATGTTGACCCAGTCGATGAATGGCAATAGTTTCATCAGAGTCAACTGCTTCTCTTTCAATGTCTTCGACATGCCAATGGCGTTGACACTCATGCGACAACTACCGATACAGATGTATGTATATATTAGCGCTTAGCGCTGTAAGGTGAGTCAGCTGTTGACTCGAATGCACTCGGCCGTTCAACTCCAGAGCTAGACAAACATATTCGGGAGAAATGCCTACAGTCAGTACACGTCTATCTACAATGCCTCCGCTTCAATCCATCGCTTCCCATTGTCATCCAACAAGGCATCAAAAGTGACAGAGCTGCTACGTACTTCAACAGAAAACATGAGACCTTGCAACCCGTCCAGCCCTAGTCAAACACATCCTCCAGAGCTTCGCCCAGCAGCATACCACCAAGAACACCAGCGCCAACACCCATCGCCATCTGTCCAGTGCTCATGCCACCTCCGCGCTTGCCGCCATGCCCAGAGCTACCACCGCGACCAAGGAGATTGCCAGCACTAAAGCCACCATGCCCAGAGCTGCCGCTGCTTCCAAATAGTTTGCCAGCACTAAAACCACCATGCCCAGAGCTGCCACCGCTTCCAAATAGTTTGCCAGCACTAAAGCCACCATGCGAAGATCCATGGCGCTGCTGACGCTGGTCGGATGGGTACCCTCCCTGGCCAACCACGCCGGAAGGTCCTGCTGCCGCGTAGGCCACTGCAGGTGGAGGCGGGTAGCCATAAGCCTGCCCCGCTACGGCAGGTGGCGGATAGTACGCCGACTGGCCAGGGTACTGTGGTGCAGGTGCTTGTCCGGGGTACTGTGCTGCAGGTGCTTGTCCGGGGTACTGTGCCGTAGGTGGCTGTCCGTACTGTGGTGCAGGTGGCTGCCCGTACTGTGCCGCGGGTGGCTGTCCGTAGTGAGCCGGCGGGGGCAGTGGGTACTGAGGAGAGTGTGACTGCTGCTGGTAATACGGCTGTGGCGGGTACGGCTGAGACGCGGCCGTCGCAGCGGCAGCAGCAGGGACCGCGTACGACGCCACCGGGTACGGCGACGGGTACTGCTGCGTGGCCGAGTAACCCGACTGCTGCGGGTACGACGGGTACGCTTCAGCCGCTGCTGGTGGCTGCAGAGCCTTTCCCGTCGACGCCGTCGGCACTGGCGGCCCACTTGTGCCCTTGAGCTGCACGCGCAGATTGATCTCTCCCGCACGTTTCGAGCCATTGTGGAGCGGGTACCACTGGTCCGTGACGCTGCCGTCGACAAACATATTGACCGGCAGACGGCACTCGCCAATGAGCGTACTGGCCGTGAAGTTCTTGTCTTTTACTTCAATAACGAGCTGGTCCAGCTGGAGGTCCGCGACGGGGAAGACAAACACTTGGTTCCACACGGGCGTCTTATCTGGCAACACACAGGATAACGGCAGATAGAAATGGGTACAGAGAGCCCCCACAATTGATTGGGGGTTTCCTGTCGTTAGAAATAGAAACGAGACGACGTTTTGCCAGGTAGAAGAAACACAGCGCAGAGACAGCATAGCACAGCCGCAACACGCCACTCACGTCCATTGTCGTGCACGCGCGTCCTGACGCTCTTGCGGCGCAGCATGAGCTTGCAGTACGGGTCCTGCTTGCCGAACGTCTGCTTGTCGAGCAAGTTGCGCGCCGAGCACGCGCGTACGTGCAGCTCCATGCTCATGGTGGTCGTGTGCCGGTTCGCGTTAGAGCGGTCGTTAGAGTGGGCGCTAATTGAGGTGTCGAGAGGTGTCGAGCAAGCGGAGCGCCGAGACGGGTGTTTGTGTTTGGGCTCGCTGGATTTTCGGCAAAAAGAAACGGATATTACTGCGGACGGACGTTGACAATCCACTCGCTATCGCGCTGACGCATCCGTTCTGCCTTCTTTTGCGCACCCCAATTTGGCAACGAACGTCCGTCTTAGCCTGCGGCAGAGGGAGAGAGGCGAACTCTGTGCTTAAAATAGCATCGGATCTGGGTAAGCCGCAAGGGGGCGACGATATCGTCAATGTGATCGCAGAAACATGCACCTATTTTGTGGCACCATGTTATCAAAATACGGTAGGAACGACTCAACAAGGCCTCAGAAATGGACACTTTCTTTCGGCTCTAAAACCAAGTGGTTTTCAGCGAATATTAGGATAGTCTCGCTAATGATGACATTTCAGCGGATCGCGCAATGAGAATCTCGACAAAGAAAAGGGACACGCATTGTTGAAGAAGCGAAATGTTTGAGGAGCGTTACTGCTGACCTGTATACAAGCATGTATACAGCGCCGTCGAGCACAAAAGTAGCACGTGCCGTTTATTGTAAGTTATCTATCCGGCTGTAGTAAAAGCTATCGATAAGAAGCGCTGATGGAATAGTGAGTTCTCGCGATGCGAGCATGTCAGACATCGCTGCTGACCGAGTTGTTCTGCTGCATATGGTACCGTATGATCACTAGTCATAGGGAAATCGATCGCTTGTGACAGCGACCAAGTCACATCTATTGACACGTTCATCTTTTTGTGTCACGACAAGTCCATGTTGTTGTTCTGATTACAACTTCCAAGTGAGTATTGCAATACCACTTTGACAAGGATTCTGAAGTAGCTACAAAGAGACGTCCGTCAAGTCTTTTTGGCAAAGACGGATGGAAACCGACAGCAGCTCACAACACGCGATAGGCGTTTTGCGTGACACGGACGTTGCAGGTACAGGGCATAATAATCAATTAGTTACAATTCGCAGCGCAGCCATTGCCTGGTGCTGTGCAGTTGACACACTTCACAGACGTTGGCCGTCGTCGACAACTGCACCGTCAGTGCCAACTTTGCAAGTCAAACTCGCTCGAATCAATCCAAGTCGCTCTGGCGCTGGCTGTGCTGCAGGAGCTGCTGGTCCGTGCTCGAAACGCTGCAGCTGCATCTCCGGCAGCCGGAGCGGAGCAGGTCCAAAGATCAATTGGTGCGGATGTTTGCTCCCATGACGCCGGTAGCAGGTATCGCATAGCGCATAGCGCGTGCAGCTTCGACACGACCAGACTTCCGCGCGCGTGATGAGGAAACTGCACTCCCGGCAAAACACATTGACCTGCGCGACCTGTTCGTTGAAGTAGTGGTGCAGTATCATCATAGTCGAGTGCTTGGCGCGGCGCAGCGAGTCGAATTGGTAGCCGGCGTACGAACACAGCTGGTGAAACATGAAGCGACTGCCGAAAAAGCGCGGGACCTGTTCGTGCCAAGAAGGCACTAGTGACTCTGGGTGACACCCCTTCGCTCGTGGTTTCGCCAACACACTTCCACCAGTCGCCTCGTCGACGTGGTCCATACCTTCTAAATCAACCACCAGCAAGTCCTGTTTCAGTCGTTGAATAGCGAACTGGCATTTGTAAAACACCTCGCGCACCTTTGCATCGACTTGAAGCGATGTCGGTGCTACAAGTGATGCACCGGGAACTTCCTTCTTGATGCGTGCACACGCACCGCCGAATGCAGCTTTACCGTCGCCGTCCGCGGACTCGCTAGCATTCCCGCAAGCAGCAGCAACCTTCTTCTTGTCGCCAGATCGCCTCTTTTGCTTATCGGTTCGTGAAAGAATCCGACCGATCACTCGCTCTAACTCGGCTGGAATGATGTCCCCGTCAAAAATTGGCGGAGCCCGATCTGCTGGCCAAACGAGTTCGTCCGCATCGACGGACTGCACTGTTGTGCCACGGGTTGACACACCCGTGCCATTCTCTTCTTTCATTGACACGAAAGAAGCTGGACGAGTCGAATCGCCGCGTGTAGGGTGACTGCAGACGCTTTCACTGAAATACCGATCATAGAGCGTAGACCAGGCTTTGACAATCCCACCGTCCTTCGCTTTGAGGAGCAGCTTGTTGTACCACTGGCGCAAATGCTCGGCGTTCGGGGTCTTTTGAAACGCTGGACGGCACCAAAACACGTAGCTAATCCGTCTCTGCGGTGGACATGACCATATGTGCACACGAGAGAAGCCGTGCCGCCGCACATAGTCGAAGTAAGCCAGCAAAATCAGGTGGTAGGCCAGCGTCCGTGCACTTGCAGGCTTCAAATAACGAACACTGTCCAGGTAGGCAATATATACGGCACGCCGATTCGCTTCCAGTTCGCAATTATCGCCGTATTCTTGAGCGTAGATCGTGAAAAGACAAATCTCCACTCCTTCGTGCTTCTGAAACAGATACAGCCCGCGAGAGAGATAGCTGATTCGAGCAGGTATCCGCTGCGAACTAGTATCCGTGCCAGGGCGCATCCGAGCTAGACGGTCCGCGTTCTCATCAAATGCTCGCACCACTATCTCTGGAACAGCCATGTGTTCGCCTGGAAATGATAGGGCACGGACGTACAATGTTCGAGCTGCATCGTGCTCGCCAGCTTTGTCCAGCCCACTGCGTAAAAAGTCTTGAATAAATATGCTGAGTTCACAACTCGGGATGTTGAGACTCGAGCTGTTCGGAGCGTGTCCACCGGGACCAGGGTGCAAGATTCTGCGCACGGGTGACCCATGTAGTGGAGTAGCGCGCTCGCGCCGGCATCGGCACAGCGGGCACACGTACGAATATGCTTTGAGAGGCAAACCATCAGAAGCCGTGCTCGAGGTCTTCTGAGACTCGTAAGCCCCGATCACAGGGTTATATAATCCACACACTTGATGTAGCCACCGATCGCACTCGCCGCACTTTACCCAAGGCTCCACACTGGGCTCGCACTTTTTCTTGATGAGAGAGTCCAGCAACGAAGCCGTAAGATCATCATGTGCATGGGGTCGAGATAAACGACTTTTGCACCTGTGGCAATAAACGCGCGTGCCGTCCTCCGAAATGAAATATACCGAGCCCTTACGGATCTCGGTGCTGCAGCCAGCTGAGCACTGTAGATTCGGCTGAGTAACTTCCAAGCACCGCTGTTGGCACACAATGCAGGTATTCCCCCGACACACCAGACAGGCATGTTGTGCGCTTAGTCGCTTTGTCTCTCGAGTCTGTTCGGCCTTTACTGATTCGTTGAAGCGCTGCAGCAACAGTCCAGCGTCCACATGGATATAATGTGACTCAGGGTTGAACAGCATTGCATTCTCAAACACTAATCGGACGTCAGAGACGAAATCGTCCAGCTCGAGATATTCTCCGGCGGCGATATTGCGCTTGATGGTGCCAAGATCCATCGGGCGTTGCACAATTGATGTGTACGTAGGCAAGTTCAGAGCCACGGGATCCACTGGTGTGTTGAACACGCCATGACGATTCCGCGGATCAGACATGAGCTTCAATAGAATATCTGTCACTCTGTCAAAACTCTTGATGCGGCCTTCCCGACGAAGAGATGCAATATGTCGTGCAATCTCGTCTACTGTCATCTGAAGCATCGGATCCACCGTCACGACATTCTCCGTAAGTTTGTTTCCCTCACTTGTATGCTCCTTTCCATCACGACTAGACGCGCACCACCCGTCAGGTAAGCTCCGGTTGTCACCAAGCGTTCGACAATCCAACGGCAAAGGTTCGCTAAGCTTCGGACAGACTCTATGACCACTCGGACTCTCGGCATTCACAGCTTGGAGTGACGTCACGGGTAACGCACCTACATTGCCGCTACCTCGCTGATGCTTGCGTGGCGAGAACGTGGTAGGTTTATCGCAAGTAGCGATACCATTGTTAAATGCTGCACTGCGCGGACGCTTGCGCACCTCGCCTCTAGGAGACTTTGACTGCACTGTCTTCGTGCTCTTGATGGGACTCTTTGCTCTGGGCTGGACTCCATTCCCCGCTAAGTCGTTTGCTACACCCACCACGGCCTCCTGAGATGGTGCACGTATAGACAACACTCGCTGCTTGGTAGTGGTCTTCCCACTACTATTAGCTGTGCAAGCGTTGTGGCGTTGCCGCACGTATTGACACGGCCGCACTGTTAGCGTAACGGGACGTGGCAGCAACGTCGGACAAGTCATGGGGCCAGACCTTCGACGATGCGGAGGCATGGGGCAACTGAACACGATTTTGGTCCATTCGGATTGCACAAAACGTTCGCTCTCCAGTCCTGCCTCCACGGCCGAGCTCAGCTTGCGCCAGAGCAAGTACTTGACAAATTTGGTATAAAAATCACTCGACGAGCCCAGACCTGCTGCAATGAGCTCTGTAGCAAAAACACACGGGTCAACGTTAACGACACTCCCATCTCCAACACAGTTGTACGCGAGCTAGCCACAGCACGCACCAATAAGCAGCCGCAGGACACTAGCACTGGGCGTCTTGCGAGTTCCGTAAAACAGCAAAAACGCTGCATCTTCTTCCCCAAGGCGCCGCTTCCGTACCCTGATCGCGCGGTACTTATTCTGGACATTGTCTAGTTCTTGCCGCGCTGCAACTTTCTGCTGCTTCTCCTTCGTTTCCTGCTGCTGCTCCATCACAGATTCATCCACCACAATCTCCTCCGTCTTCTTCTCGTTGACCACCACGTCTTTGTCCTCGTCATCCTCGTCCAGCTCCAGCACTTGCAGCCTCCTCTTGACTTGCACAGGCTTCTCCCCGTCGTCTCTTTTCGTCACTTCCATCTCCTCTTCTTCTTCTTCCTCCTCGTCCTCACTACAGCAGTCGATCGTCACCACCTCAGGCTTCGCACTGTCCTTCATAGCCGTTAGCGCTTCGGCCGGTGGCTGCAGCACCGCTACTTCCTCGTCCTCGTCCTCGTCTCCGCTGCTTATGCTGATACACACGCGCTCGCCTGCACTCGATTGGCCTGCAGCGACCAAATGCTCGCGCACGGGCGGACGCGCGGCCTCGCGCGTGCGGGGCAAACGCGCCAAGAAGCGACTCGGAGCCTCCATTGCCGTCCACTTGAGCCTAGAAACGCAGGTGCGGGCTCTCATTGGCTGCGTCGTGCCACCATTCATTCGTTTGATTGGCTGAATCTCGTGTCCCTGATCTTTGCGGCAGTTGCGACTGTTTCGGACCCCAGATGGCTACATTCCGTCAGCCAGACCAGCGCCCGTCAAACGGGAGCGAACAACTGACCAACTGACCGACTGACCAACTGACCGACCGACCGACTGACCAGAGGGCCCGGTGTCCTGCCTCCACATGGCTACATTCGATCGTCATGGCTACACCCTCACACGTGAGCTCTTTACCGTCGTCATCATCAACGTCGTGTTCGTCTTCTCCGTCGTGTGATGGGAGTGACACGTCCCCTCTCCATCGCGTCCACAACGTCGTTGACGCGAGCGTTGCAAGTCGCTTCCTGTCGTGACACCTCGGCCACTCCCGTCCCACGTCACGACAGGCAGTCACGACACGCAGTTGGCCCTTTCCCGTCACTTTGCCACTTGCCCGTTGCGCCCCATGCACGTCACGGCCGAGCAGCAGCAGCAGCTCGTGCAGCAGCAGCCGCCACGGGTCGACGACGGTCGTGCACCTGCGGCCCCATGTGGTGACTGGTCCTTGACGCCATTGCCGCAGCAGTCGCGCCCGACAACGCCCGTAACGGTGCTGTCGTCGTCGTCGTCTTTGGCTTCGTCGGCTGCGTCTTCGCCTCGGCCGACGACGGCGCTTGGCCTTAGTGCGCCGTCCAAGCGACTCAACTGGACGCGTCGACTGGTGATCACCAGACAGCCGCTGTCGGAGTTTTACAAGGACGAAGGCGGCAAAGCCAATGCCCTCGAAGTCGAAGTGACGCTCGTGGAGTTTGACCAGTTTGGCGAACCGGCGCGGTCGAGCGACAAGGAGTTTGTCGACATTCCCCTTCGCATTTTGCTGTTCTTTGAGTCGGGCAAGCGCGTGGACGACACGGACCAGGAGATCTTTCGGTTCGTGGGCAACGACTACGACTCGGTCGTGATTCGAGCTGCCACGCGCACGGCTGTGGTGCAGTTTCGTCTCGAGAAAGTGAGCCGACGGAAGGATGGCCAGCGGTTCAAGCTACGCATCGAAGTGGACCAGGAGCAGTGCACGGCCAATGTAGCGGATCTCACGCCAGTGTTTACGAACGCGATCTGCGTGCTGTCGAAGCGGAAACACCCAAGTCCGTACAGCTCGGACTCGTCCATCCGCGTGAAAGAACCTCCTCCCAAGTTGCTCAAACGAGGTACCGTAGTGCTCTGTCGTTCAATGTGTCGTTACACGTCACGTCACATCACGCGTTTTCCGATTGTTTGCTTTGTGCTGCAGACTTGGCGCTGCTGGAAGATCGACTCAACAGGAAGATTGATGGACTCTCAGCACAAGTCCACCATCTGGGTCAGTTAGTGCAGAAACAGGTTGGTTGGTTGGTCGTGACTTGATGGACTTGGACTTGACTTCGCAGTACTTACAGCACGTTTGCCATCACGTGACAGAATGAGCTGCTTGCCAAGCGCCATACACCTTCCATTCCGCCAGGACTGCACTCGGCTCCAAGCGAAAGTGCCATTCTAGAATGGCTGCTTCGATCAAATACTGTGGATGACAGCACGTGGTCCAAGCCAGCTCTCGAACCGCATCTACTGCCAAACACCATCATGCCTTATTTCGAGCTGGGCGACGAGCCGTATCACGGCGTGGATGTCGACCTCACACCCGCACTCGTTGCTCTACCGGCTACGACTGCAGCAACAACAACAACAACAACAACCAAATCAGATGCGCACACGAGCGAGCCAACGACACCGTCGCTACCATTTGGCGACCTTTGACGTGCTGTATCCGAGACTGTAGGTACTTGTCACATTTTCGCCAGCCGACCACTACCCCGTGCGCTCGAAAATACAGTATGTGGCCTCGCTTGACGCGTCGTCCGCCTCGTTTTTCATTTTTTCGTTACTTGTTACTACTGCGCATCGACATCGCCGCTTCCTGTCTCGAGAAAGTGTCGAAAGTCGCCCACCACTTGGACGAGTTTGCCGGCTGTTTGAATCTGGCGATGCAAATCCACGTTCTTGGGACTCTTTTCCATGAGGTACAGCAGCTTTTCCTTCCGCCGAAGCTGCAGCAAGCGACGTCAGTCTCAGTGTGCGATTTCTTTCACACACCGTCCACAACGCAGCAACGCAGTAAGTACCGTACAATCTCTTTGTAGAGCTCGTCACACACCAAGTTGAACTGCTCGAGCTTCTTGACCACTTGGTCCTCCACACTGCTCGGCTCGTCCTCCTCGCTCCTGCATCACCCGCACCAGCCCACGACAACGTCAGCTATCCACACTGTACCCACAGCAATACAACATACAGCAAACGGCCAGGAGGCAAAAGCTACGTACGCCAACTGCTCTTCGCACTGCACGAGCGTCAGGCACTCGGCCACGAGTTCCTACACCATTCAACAGCACATAGCGCCGTCAGTGGGCCGACCCACGCGCTCCAACTTGTCTCCTCCTGTCGCACACACGTCGAACTTGGCGCAGACGTCCTCGACGCGCAGCGCAAAGGGCTTGTTCGGGTCCTTGGCCGCCTCGCTCGTCAGCATTACGTTCGCCATGCGTCTCAGCACGTTCGGGTCTTATGGGTACACAACAGCGTCGACCGAACCAATGGGAACTCGCGCCCGCCGACGAGGCGCGCAAGTTTCTGGCGTCGCGGATTGGCTGAAACGACCGCCTCGATTTCGTCCAATCGCCGTGCGACGCTCGCCGCCGTCCACACCCCCTGTAGCTCGTTCGCCCCCGGAGGAGGAAGCAGAGCGAGCGGCAGCGTCGACGTCGCAATGGCCGGCCAGCGCAAGCTCCTGAGCGAGATCGACCGCACGCTGAAGAAGGTGAGCGAGGGCGTGGACGTGTTCAACGAGATCTGGGACAAGGTGTACGCCGCCACGGCGCAGAACCAGAAAGAGAAGCACGAGGCCGATCTGAAGAAAGAGATCAAGAAGCTCCAGCGCTTTCGCGACCAGATCAAGACGTGGATTGGCAACTCGGACGTGAAGGACAAGCGGCCGCTCGTGGACACGCGGAAGCTCATTGAGCAGAAGATGGAGGAGTTCAAAGTGTGTGAGAAAGAGACCAAGACCAAGGCGTATAGCAAGGAAGGACTGGCGCAAGTCGAGCGCTTGGACCCCGAGCAGCAGGCGCGACAGCAGTCGCACGCGTGGATTCAGGACTGTCTGACGCAGTTCAATGTGCAGATTGAAGCGCTGGAGAGCGACGTGGAGCGCCTGCATCTGGTGAAAGGACGCAATCGGAACAAAGCTGAGATTGAAGAGAAGGAGAAGCTCTTGTCGCGACACAAGTGGCACATTCTCAAGCTCGAGCAGATCAATCGCCTGCTGGACAACTCGGCGCTCGAGCCCGAGCAGGTGGACGAGCTCAAGGAAGACGTTGAGTATTTCCTAGAAGCGAATCAAGAGCCAGACTTTATGGAGACGTACGCGGACGATGACATCTACGAGACGCTAGATCTTGATACATTGGGTGCAGCTGCACAAGTGGCATTGCCGACAGAGCAGGACGTCGGTATTGATGATGCGAACGGTGCAACTGCGGCAGTGACAACAGCTGCACCGGTAGCAGCAGTAACAAGTACGACCACGACGGCGCGGGGCAAGACGCCGCGCAAGAGTGCGTCGTCGTCGCTGATTACAGGTATTGGCCGCGCTGGAGCAGTGAAGCCGATCGATCTCAAGACGTCGACGCCGATTCGATCGAGCAGCACGAGCAAAAGCGACACGTCGCCGTTAAACAGCCTCAAGATCGAGACGAGCAAAGGACGCACGACCCCGCTGCATGCGAAGAGCGGATCTTCTGCGTCCGAAAAAGGGTCGAGCAAAGCGCCGACGCCGATACCGTCTTCTCCGAGTGTCGGAGAGCAGCTTACACCGGTGCGCAAGGTGGCACCGCTCACACCGCAGCGCTCACCGTCTCCTAGCATCGGCAAGGGGCCGCTCATTGGAGGCCACTTGTCGTCTTCGGCTTCGCCAGCTGTCAGTAAGCCTCCAACCGGCCCAGCACCGTCACCTGCGCCTTCGAACTCCTCGTTGCTGCCGCCTCCGGTACCTGCACCGTCACCCGCCGCTCCGACCGTCGCAACGGCTACTAACGTAGCACCTTCACCAGTGCCTGGATCTGCAGAAGCTGTACCGACTGGAGCTGCAACAGCAGTAGTGAACACTCGGCCCATGGTAGAATCGCCTCAGCTGACTGACGAACAGCGGCAGATTGTGCGGTTGATCGACGAGAGCTTTCACTTCATTCCCGAGAGCCGCGACTCTGAAAAGGCCAACCGCTACGTTCCGCGCAACTTGTACGCGACCCCGGCATCGTTCCCCGCCACGCCGTCCACGCTGTTCTCGAGCCCTGTCATTTTCGAGAAGCTGGACGTGGACACGCTCTTCTTCATCTTTTACTACCAGCAAGGTTCCTATCAGCAGTACCTGGCAGCTCGTGAGTTGAAGCGACGGACGTGGGGGTACCACAAGAAGTACAAGACCTGGTTCAAGCGTCACGAGGAGCCGCAAGTGACAGGCGAGGACTACGAGCAAGGCACTTTTGTCTACTTTGACTACGAGACTGGCTGGTGCCAACGCATTAAGACCGAGTTCACCTTTGAGTACAGTTTCCTCGAAGACGAGCTGCAGTAAGCTGCTCGTTCAATTCCGCTAGTAAAGTAACTCGTGCCTTTCGTCTTGCAGCTTTGCTGTCCTTTGCCTCTCTGTATCGACCCTCGAAGCTTGCTTGGCCCACGTTCTGTCTGCATGTTCATGCAAATTCAAGTCGCTTCCTACCATCTCGACATGTGCTGCTGTCATCTGTCCAGACAGTGTATAGGCAACAACTCATCGCGTGTCATTACCAGAAAGTCATTGCATACCGCACGAGTAGACCATTTACAACGTCTTCAGCGACGAAGTGGAGAAGATACTGTCCGTCGTGAAGCTGTTGGGCTCGAAAGCTGGAAATGAATCGTTCGTTCATTGGTCCACGACGTTGAAGTGACACATGTCGAGTCCAAACGCGAAACGTCGTCGTGGAATTGAAGTGGTGCGAGGACAGAGACACCTGTTGTATCAGAAATGAGCTCTTCGCGGACGACGGAGCTCTTTGATTCTTGGGCTGACCAACACACAGGGATACGAGCAAACACGATGTCAGCAGGTAGCTAAGCATAGCTGGTGGCTATCGATACGTCGACAATGTGACAAAGATACTGCCTGGTAGTCGTGATAGTGCATCGCGTTTATTATTGCAGACTCGCATACAGCCAGCCGCCCCCTGCTACGATGGACACGGGGGGAAGAAGGCAAAAGATCGGTGTACTGATGACCCGCTCTGTCCGTCTCTCGTTGTTCCCACTATCCTTTCGAGCAACGTACTCACTTGCCAGTCAAATAATCGAATGCAAAGTACATGCCAACGCACCACACCCACCAAGGAATTCCCAAGCCAGTGTCGCCCTTCTGTACTTCTGGCTCAGGCGTAGCAACATCCAAGAGTTCTTGAGCGGCAGCAATCTGTTCGTCCGATGCGTTTTCAATCGTTTGCGACGCGGGCAAATGCTTGTCCATTTTCATGCGCTTCCTCGCCGCGGCAGGAACCACGTCGCCCTTCACAACCTCTGGACGGCGACGAGAGGACGATGCAACTTCTCCTTGCAACTCGCGCATGTTCAGTAGAATCGCCTGCCCGTTTACCAGCCAACAGCGTTGCAAACATGTATCAGACACTCACTCATTCACAATGCAATAATCAAGCAATCAATCCATCGCGTAGCGCACCTGGTTGCTCTTCAGCAGCTCAACACTCAGCGCAAAGTTCTCGCGGGCCAAGTCGTGATGAAAATACTCGCCGATTGCGCGACATCCGTTCAGAAGCAGCGGGAACGCCGAGTGCATCATCGTGACAAAGTCGTTGATTGTCATCATTGGAAAGAAATACGGAGGCAAGCGAGCACCTCCGTAGATGAAGTTCAGCTCCAGCATGAAGAAGAGGATGCCAGCAGCCAACGACCACGCACGCGCCTCTCGCGCAGCTTCGCTCAGCGTCAGGACATACGTGAGCACGGCCCAAATAGCATAGAACGTCAGCGAGCCCACAAGTGCTTCAATCTGCATGGACAGTACGTCTTTATCAATGGCACTTTCGCCAAACAGATCATATAGCGGACGCCTGTGAGCATCTCCGAGCACCTGATACGACCATCGAGTCACGCACACGACATCAGTGCACTTCTCCATACTGTCCACACCGGACCACACACCACGTACGTCAAACGCCAGTCGAAGTTTGTTGAACTCCTCCGTCGCAGTCAGCGACGGGTTCTTGTCCGGATGGAGCTCCACTGACCGCTGGCGGAACGCGCGTTTGATCTCAGCGTACGACGCGTCCCGATGGATGCCCACGACGTGGTAGAAATTGCCTTCTCGAGCGTACAGCTCACTTCCCTGTTGAATCAAATGCACACATAGAAACATGACAGCCAGTCAGTGAATCGCCATACATTTTCCCCGTGACATTCCGGTGGCTTCTCTCTCTCTCTCTTTCTCTCTCGTCCCCTCACGTACGATCGTTGCGGCGGCAATCGCGACGAGGAACGCGACAGCGTACGCAAAGCCGAGTCGCTTGGAGAACCGGCCGGGCTTGAGGATCCACGCGATGGCAGGCGAGATGACGAGCATCTGCATCAGAATGCCGTGCGACGAGTCGGACGAGCTCATCGCTGCTGCCCAAATGTGTGCGAAGACGTCGGCGGCGGTAAAGAGCTCGTGGCGGAGAGGGGTTGGAAATGGGCAAAACGAGACGAGGGCGTCGAGGTGGGCGAGAAAATGGGTCTTTTTGGAACTTGGCTGGGACAAGAGAAGCCACGTGCGACTTGCTGAGGCATGTTGTGTTTCGGCCAATCACGGACGCGAGCAGGGCAAGCTGGTCCCAGCTCCGCGCGCGTCACATGTACCGTTCTAGACCAGTATCTACCGATATCCCGCGAGCTCACGGTATTTCGTTCTCGTAAAAAATAACAATCTGTCGACCACCAGGTCGTAGTCATTGCAGTCTCTCTCTCTCTCTCTATCTCTCTCTCTCTCTCTCTCTCTCTCTCTCTCTCTCTCTCTCTCTCTCTCTCTCTCGCACCTGACCGGATGGCCAGTCCTGTTTGTCAGCCTTCGACCGAATGTGTTCAACACGTGCGCTTCAAGTCGTGCGGGTCAGCGGATGGGGACGGCCGTACCGTCCCCTCGCCTTCGCTTCTAGCGTCTATCCATATGGACCAGCGCAGCTTATTCCGGTTGAGCAAACTGATTGCACGGCCGCTGCTCTGTGGTAGTAGAGGTGCGATCTGGAAAAAAGTGGCAATGCGGTGCGACATGACGGACGGACGCAGCGGCACAGGAGCAAACATCAGGCAAAAATGTGCACTCATAGACAGAATCAGAGGCAGCGGAAGTTCAACAAGCCACTTCTTTAACTACTGTTGTACGATTGCACGTGAGGAACAGCGGCGTGGCAGATATGGGGAGCGAACATCCATCTACCGACTACATTCGACACCAGACATGTTCCACGACGTAAGCTGCGTAGGCGCCAAGAGGTATCCATCTCGGTCTCTCTCTTTCGCTCTCTTTAGTGACTGACAGAGCCCATCCAATCGACTGCTGTCGCCGCGATGCCAGCAGAGTCATGTAGACAGACGAGTCGCTCCTTCGACTCGCTGCTGCTGCTGCTGCTGCTGTCCATTGGATCGCAGCCGCCGTGGCCAGATCGTCATTCGCACTGGTTCTGCACTCCCGAGCGCTTGTTGCAGCTTTCCGACCCACTGCCAGTGCATCGTCTGAGCGGCGTATCGCATCGTGATTGGATGCCAGCGATGATGACACTATCGACACGACGTCCTCATTTGGAGGCGGAAAACGCTAGTGCTACAATCCAGACGACCGACCACCTGCTACAACAAACATCCGTCTGTCGTAACTAACTGTACGATCAATTTACATCACCTCGTGATGCAGTCACTGGAAAGACGCAATCCAATCGACGAGTCGTCAGGTCTGAACTTTCACCTGTGCGTAGCAGCGCCCTGAGCTTCGATAGCTGTGACCGACCGATCGATCGATCGATCGACCGACCGACCGACCACACCGTAACCCGTCAGTCGTCTCGTCTATGCGTTTCATCCAGCACAGTAGTTCCCCGGTCACGTTGGGATGTCAGTCGGTCGGTCGGTCGGTCGGTTGGTGGTACCCGTCCCCTACACCTATCGACCTCGAACTCGCGCGCGGCATTGATCAGCTGCAAAGTGACGTCGCCGGACAGCGCCAGTCCATCTCTCTGACGCGTTGCTACTACAGGGGGAACCGTGAGGTTTCGCACAGTAGTTTCCCCGGCGTGTCTTTCTTTCGTAAAGTGGAGAAGCAGACGTGTCTATTTAACCATGTACTGGTTGCAAGACGTCTGATAAAGCTCGAGCCTGATGGGTTCTTTCGTAAAGTGCTCGCGCTTCTTCGCTAACTATCCACTCGCCCGACTTTTATCTCTTTGTTTATTTCGCACCTGTTGAATTTCTCCACGATCTCGACCCCATTTGAGACATCACTTTCCAATTGGCCGTCTTTCACTCAAGAGGCCCTCCGAGCGCACGAGAGAGAGAGAGAGAAAGAGATACACTCAGCAGCACAAAGTCGAGCAACTCGCCCGCCACCTGACCCCACCAGCCCCTCCGCTTTCCCCTCTGCCGCCGCCGCTTCCCGTCTCTCTCTCTCTTCTCTCTTTGTCATGGAAAAGATCGACACGAGCCCGAGCATCTCGCAGCTCCGTCCGCACGCGCCGCGCGAGCTGCTCGCTGCGGCCCCCGCCGTCGCGCGGTGCTCCCCGCAGCAGAGCGTGTTCCAGAGCATGTGGATCGGCGCGACCGCCGGCATGGGCGGCATCGTGGCCGTGTACCCCGTGGACGTGGTCAAGACGCGCATGCAGAACAGCCGTGTGGCCACGAGCGCCGTGCAGACGCTCACGAGCATCTTCCGCACCGAAGGCGTGGCGTCGTTCTACAAGGGGCTGGGGCCGCAGCTGCTGGGGACGATCCCCGACAAGGCCGTGTCGCTCGCCACGCGCGAGTTTGTCAAGGGCTTCTTCGCGCACCCGAACGAGTTTAAGGCGTCGCTCACGTCGGCCGCTGTCTCGGGCATCATGCAGTCGCTCGTGATGAACCCCGTGGAGGTCGTGAAGGTCCGTCTGCAGCTCGACAGCTCGTTGCAGCCGCTGGGCGTGCTCCGCGACGTGGGCCTCCAGGGCCTCTACCGCGGCTACGCGGCCTGCTTGGCGCGCGACGTGCTCTTTGCCTCGACGTACTTTACGCTGTACGACTTGGCCAAGACGCAGCTCGGCGTGCAGGACGGCACGTCGCTCGGCTGGTCGATGGTCGCGGCCTCGACCGCGGGCATTCCCGCCGCGTTCCTCACGACGCCGCTCGACCTGCTCAAGACGCGCATGCAGTCGCGCGACGCGACGGTGCGCGGCTTTGTCAACACGTACCGACAGGTGACGGCGCAGGGCGGACTGGGCGTGCTGTTTAACGGATGGGGCCCGCGCGTGAGCCGCATTGCCCCGCAGTTTGGCATTGTGCTCGTGTCGTTTGACTGGCTCTCGCACCGCTTTAGTCCGGCAGCAGCAGCAGCCGCCGCCGCCAGCGGTGGGCCCGAGACTGCCGACGACTGACGGCGCGGAGGGACGAGCGACGAACGGACGACGGACTGGTTGGAGAGAAAGGAGAGGAGGGAGGAGGGCGACGGAGTGGACGCGCTGGTGGATGGTCGCGGTGGGGCTGTTCCTTGCTCGCCTGCTTTGCCTCTTTCTCCTTCTCGATGCATGTTTAAACTTATGGGGACAAATGCCAACTACTGCCTAATGTTGCTGCGTGCCGACAGAGTGGACGAGAGCGCGCGCGAGTGAGAACGTCTCGCAGGACGTTCCTGTTGTGTTGGTCGGTCAGTCGGTGGTCATGTACGCGCGGGCTGCCGATCGCCGGGTCGAGCACTAAGAGGAGGAGAATGAGATACGTTTCGGGTCAGTCGTGCAAGTGTCACGCGTGCCGTACAATAGATGAAACGTTGTTTGCTTACACACTCACATGCAGTCGCAATTGGCGTTCTCTCTCACAGCTGCTGCTACTCACTCGCTGTTTCTGTAGCTCTGCAGCTCTACAGGAGCGTCTCGTTGCGCACGTTTTACAGGACCAGCCACGACAGCTTTGGCTCGTTCACCGCCTTTGCCAGCGCTGTCGCGTCCAGAAACACGTCGACGTTGGCTCGTAGTGTCGCTTCGGCGCCAGCGGTGCGGACGGTCACTGCCGCGTCACTCGACTCGAGCGCCGTCTGGACGTCGTCGTACTTCATCGACGCCACGTACGTCGTCAACTGGTCCACTGGCATCGCCGCCTCGTGCTTTGCCAGGACAGCGGCCGACGCAAAGAGCACAGCCGGACGAGCGACAATGAGCTTCACGCTCGAGTCGGCGAACTGAGCTTCTTCCGACACGATGGGTACACTGTGCGCCGGCTGCAGCGCCACGGGGGCAGGAGCGGTCCCCAGCGTCGAGGCAATCATGGCCACGGACGCCTGGATGGCCTTCGAGATCGGTCCGTCGTCGTCGCCGTCGCCGTTCTTCTCCTCGAAATACACGTGGATCTTGTCCTGCACGACCAGGCCCGCTTTTTTCCGCAGCTTCTGCACGCGGGTGACCAGCTCGCGCGCCCAGCCCTGCATCTTGAGCTGCTCGTCTTCTCGCGTATCAATGACCACCAGGAGGTTCCCCTGGGGCGACACATCAGCTTCGTAGATGGTGGCGTCGCCCTTGAATTCCCGCTTGACCACGAGGTCGTCGCCCGTCAGTTCGTAGCCATCGATCGTGACGCTTCCGCTGGACACGTACGCAGCAACGTCGTCGTGCGTGAGCTGCGCGATGGCTGTCTTCACGCTGGACAAGGCCTTGCCGAGGCGCCGACCCAGTGCGCGGCTGTTGGCTTCGGCTTTCAGCACACACCACTGCTTCTCGTCCGTCGAGAACTCGAGGTCGCGCATGTTGAGCTCGTCGTGGAGGTACGTCTCGAGCCGACGCAGACCGTCGAGCGTCTGCTGGTCGCTCGACACGACAATGACCTTCATCACTGGCGTCTTGAGCGAGATCCCACGACGTTCCCGCACGACGCGGCCCATCTCCACGACGCTCTGCAAGTTCTGCATCAGCACTTCGACTTCTTCGTTCACGCGACTCGGGTCAAAGTCCGGGAGCATGAGGAAGTGGACGCTGGCAGACACACCATCGGCGTCTTCGGCCAAGTCGGTGCGGCCGCCATCCACAGCGTTTGGGTGGAACTGACGCAGGAACTGGTACATGTACTCGGTGAAGAACGGCGTGAAGGGCGCCATGATCTTAACGAGGTTGTACTCGACCCCGTACAGCGCCGAGAGCGCTACAGCAGCTTCATCACTCCCAGCACTGCCTTTGAGCCGCGGACGATTGAGACGCACGTACCAGTTGGTCAGCTGGCCGATAAAGCTCACAAGGCGCGGGACGACCGTGTACAGGCGATATGCCTTCATCTCCACGTGCACAAACTTGATGAGGTTGTGCAGAGCAGCAATGATCCAACGGTCCATCACGTTCGTCGACGTTAGAGCTGCCTGGCGACTGGGCACGAACACGACACCCGTCTCGAGCTGCAGGCGGGTGGCCTGCTGAGCGAAAAACCGCACCGAGTTGAACCACGGCAGAAAGATCTCTCGGACGACCCCCAGTACACCTGCAGCCTGGAACTTGAGAGGCTCCGCACGCACGACGGGGGAGTTGATCAAGTACAGCCGAAGCGCGTCGGCCCCGTACTTTTGCAAGATCTCCTCGGGGTCGGTAAAGTTCTTGAGACTTTTGCTCATCTTGCGGCCATCTTCAGCCAGCACGAGACCGTTCACGATCAGGTTCTTGAAGGCAGGTTTGTCAAACAGTGCCGTCGACAGCACCATGAGCGTGTAAAACCAACCCCGGGTCTGGTCAAGCCCCTCGGCCACAAAGTCAGCTGGAAACGTCGCTTCAAACTTCGCCTTGTTCTCGAACGGATAGTGCTGCTGCGCATACGGCATGGACCCGCTTTCGAACCAGCAGTCAAACACCTCGGGCACGCGGCGGAGCACGCCCTTGCCTTGCTTGGACGGGATCGTCAAGTGGTCAATGAATTCGCGGTGCAAGTCGGTCACCTTCTCGCCCGTCAATTCCTCCAGCTCGGCGATCGACCCCACGCACACCACCTCTTCGTAGTCCTCGCTCACCCACAGCGGCAGCGGCGTGCCCCAGAACCGACCCCGCGATACGTTCCAGTCTTTGCCATCTACCAGCCAGTTGTGGAACCGCTTCTCCTGCACAAAGCTGGGCACCCAGGACGTGAGCTTATTGTTGGCCACAATGCGGTCGCGGATCCGCTCGACGTTGACAAACCAACCGGGGATGGCTCGGTAGATCAACGGCGTGCCTGAACGGTAGCAGAACGGGTAACTATGCACTTCAGTTCCCTTCGACACGAGGCGTCCACGGGTCTTGAGGTCCTGGCAAATCACGTCGTCCGCCTTCTTCACGTGCAACCCCTTGACGAGCGGCACAGCGTCGGTAAAGATACCATTGTCATCGAGCGGGTCCGGCAGCGTAAACTTGTCCGCCACGCCTTCGCGCACACAGACGCGGTAATCGTCTTCGCCAAACGTAGGGGCCTGGTGGACAATGCCCGTACCACCCGAGTCAGAGACGTAGTCGTCGGACAGCACGCGGAAAGCCTTCGGCCAGTCCTGAAAGCAGTCGAACAGCGGCACATACTGTTTGCCAACGAGCGCCGCTCCTTTGAACGTCTCGAGCACCTCAAACTCGCCGCCTTTGTAGCCCTTCTTGGTCATCTTGGGGTACACTTGACACAGCCGTGCTTCAGCGAGCACGTACACATTGCCGGTCGGCACGTCTTTGATCTTCACGTACGCAAACGCCTCGTTCACACAGAGCGCCAAGTTGGACGGCAGTGTCCATGGCGTGGTCGTCCACGCCAAGAGCTTTACGTGCGGGTCCTCGACGAGCGGGAAGTTGACAATCACCGACGGGTCGGGCGTGTCCCGGTAGTCCAAATTGGCTTCAAAGTTCGACAGCGACGTCGTGCAGGCCGTCGAGTAGGGCAGGATCTTGTAGCCGCGATAGACCAAGTCCTTGTCAAAGATCGTGCGGAAGACGTGCCAGACAGACTCCATGTACCACGGCTCCATGGTCTTGTAGTCGTTCGTGCAGTCGATCCAGCGGCCAATGCGCTTGACCACGCGCTCCCACTCGCCCGTGTAGCGCTGGACAATGCTGCGACACTCGGCATTGTACGTGCCAATGCCCATGTCGAGCACCTGTTCCTTTGTCGTGACGCCGAGTTTCTTGTTGATCTCGTTCTCAATGGGCAGTCCGTGGCAGTCCCAGCCAAAGCGACGCTCGACGTAGTGCCCCGTCTGATGCGCATAGCGCGTGACCGTGTCTTTGATCGTGCCCGCCAAGATGTGGCCGTGGTGCGGCAGTCCCGTGGCGAACGGCGGCCCGTCGTAGAACGTGAACGGCGGCCGGTCTTTCGACAGCGCGAGCGACTTCTGGAACGCGTCGAGCTGCGCCCATTGGTCGAGGATCTTGAGCTCTTCGTCGGGGAACGAGATGCGCTCGGGGAGGGACCGCGACGCGGCCAAGTCGAGCGTCATGCCGGCGCGCAGAGAGCGGGAAAGAGAGAGGCGGCGGCGGCGCGGGACGACGGCTCGAGGGCTCGCGATGACTGGCTGGCGGACGTCGGAGCTGCTGGCGCGGGGCTGTACCGGATCTCGGGTACGAAAGGTTCGTCGAGCGAGGGTGTTGTTGTTTGACGATGATGATGATGATGATGATGAGGGTCAACAGAGGGCCCTTTGTTGGGGTGGGACGAGATGGCTACAGAATCCGTCACGTGTCGACGACGACGGCGACAGTCGGTCGGTCCTTTCCCTCGCTCTCGTTTTTTCGAGCTTTCTGTCTGTCTCTTAGGATGGAAAGTCGGCAGCAGCGACGGACGCTCAGCTTTCGAGCGCTTGAAGCGCGAACCGAACGCAATAGCACATGTCACCCAAACACGTCGCGCAAGTCGCCACTGAAATGTCATTGATCCGTCGAGGCTCTGGTGGTGTGAGTGGTGTGTACGTACTATTACAAGTGAGCAGACAATGGGGATCGACAGGTTTCGGCAGAAAGAGACAGACATATGCGATGCGGAATCCTTCCAGGCCGATCCCGACCTCCTTTCCTCCTTTCCTCCTTTCCTCATGCAGCCTCTCGTGGCCAAAAGTCCATCCAAGTGCCTCGCTGGTCGAGCACAGTAACGCTGAAAACCGACGTGTGCAATGCAGGGAAAGTCCGATGTTCAATGGAAGACGTGCACGGGCGTGTGGTGGTGGGGGGGGGGGCAGAGGGAGGAGCGAAGAAACGGCGTGCAACCGGACCATGTTCATCCACACAGAAGCAGAAGGAGAAGAAGGAGAAGAAGGAGAAGAAGCAGAAGAAGGAGAAGAAGGCAGTCGTGCTTCTTTTCGGACCAGCAAGTGCAGTGGTGCGCATAGCGTGTCGCAGCCGACTCTGGCAACCGCTCGCTCCCGTCTCCGTCACTGGCCGCTTGTCGCTCCACCTGTTTCGCTCCTCCTCCTCCTCTTTCTCCGTCGTCGTCCCAACTTCAATCGACACACTACCGACAGTCGATCCACTGCGACAAAAGGAAACAAAAAGAGAGTGTCGTCGGTGCTGTCGCACGTTTCGCCTTCGTCTCAAGCTGTCAACTAACTACACACAGCGCTGCTGACCCCACGAGACCACCAGACACTTTATGTCGTCGTCGCCTGGCGACCACACAACCCGCACCTCAACTGCAACAACCCACCACCAGCTCCACCCCCACCAGCGCCGACAACGCCCATCGTCGCACTTTTGCATTCCTCCGCTTCCGCGCACGCCGTCGCCTCGAACGTCCCCCGTGCAATGGGCCTCCGCGACTCGACCCGCCGACTCTTGCGCCGACTCAGCGGCCGCGACGTCAAACAAGAAGAGGCCGCGCAGCTGCAGCCCGTGGCACTCGCAGGCGCGAGCAAGCGCTCGACCACACGCTCCGAGCTCTGCAGTTCGTTCGCCACGACGGCCGTCAGTTGGGAAGAGCTCGACGGGCGGCGGAAAGCGCTGAGCGACGGCAGCGCCAAGTGGCAGCAGTGCGGCATGTGCACGCGCAGCTTTGTGGCCGGCACGAGTCGCTACGTCGGCTTTTGCTCGCTCGACTGCAAGTCGGCCGCGCTCTACAGTCAGTCGGCACACGTCTACCGAAGACGGTATCGCAACGCCTGAGCTCTCGAGACAGAGAGCTCCAGAGGGCCACACCGTTGGAACCTAAACAAGAGTTTAGGAGCTGCGGGACATGGAGAAGACTATGGAGGAGGAGGAGAAGAAGAAGAAGAAGAAGAAGAGACGACCACGTGAGCGAAACGTGCGAGTGGGAAGACGTCGTCGCTGGTGTCAATGGCTATTTGTTGTGTGTGCGTGTGGCGTCGTTGGAACTCGCGGAAGTGCGGCCACAGTTCTTAATTTACAATATCGGCACAATACGACGACAGCCCTTTTGTGTTCCATTCTTCAGTCGATCGGCTGTTCGAGTAAGCAGTGGGTACGTCGTCAGGACATGCAATGGAACGGCAACCGACTGCGAGTCAAGAGTGGCTCCAACACACACACACGCAATTGTGTCGTGCGCCATGCTCGGCGTTCGTCTTCTGCCGCCTTGTCGTTCCTCCTTGTTGTCCTTGTTAGCTCCTACGGATCCGACATCAACCCCTTTTGGTCGTCTTCGTCATTCCCTGCTACAATCGACACGCACGTCGCTACTGACCCCCTCACTCACCGTCTGTAGATTCCGTCGTCTCGCTTTCGGTTGTTGCCAGCCCCGCCGAGCATGTTCGTCCGGCACGTTGGGCACGTCGTGTTGCTGCAGAGCCAGTATCACATCGATAGTAAAGCCACTTGGTACACGCAAAACACGCAGCAGTGATCGTAAAGCAGTCCGTGACACGCTCCCTCGTACCCATGCTTGACGTATCGATCGTAGCATTTCGAGTGCAAGACGTGACCACACGGCAGCACGTTCGCCGTGTCCAGCGAGTCGAACGTAACCTGCAGCATGCCCAAAGCCGAGCCAGAGCATCAACGTTTGTTTTCCCAGATATCCACGACAGGTCCAGGAACAAGACCTACTTCGAGGCAAATGGGACAATCGTGATGCATAGAAGCTGCCACACACCGGTGCTTGGTCCGGATCGAGTGCGGGTAACATCCACAGCACGTGACGCAGTGGTAGTAGTTCTCGCGGCCGCCCACGCTATGTCGCATTCACGTACACAGCCCAAACAACAGTCAAAATTGATCACACGAGCGACGAGCGTCGATACCACATGTCTGCAACCGACACAGACGACACACAAGCAGCAAAAACAGCGAATCAAATCCTACCGACAGATACCGCACTGGCGGCAGTGGAACACCTGTTTCGAGCGTCCCATGTCGTCAAACAAGTGGCACACAGCGCAGTAGTACGCGGCCATTGGCGTCCGACAGGTGACGCACACCTGGGCGCACTTTTGTGTCGTCGTCGTTCGAATAAAAACCATATGGTGAGCCCGCACGTTCTTTGCACCACGACAGAAACCGACAGGTGGGGGCGGGGGGTACCATCTGTTCCGTCTGACAGACGATGCAGCGCATCCATTCGATCGCAAAGCGGTCGATGCGGTGGTCGTGGCCGAGCTGCGCGTCGTGGCACAAGCGACAGCCGACCCAGCGGCCGCAGCACTCGGCGAGCACAAAGCAGCGCCGTCTGTAGTGCGGGCACGGGGTCGTCATGTCGTTGGCGGTCGCGTTTGTGTGCGGGGCAGTCGGTCGGTCTCTTGCCGGTTTCTCGGTCGTGTGGTCGCTCGCTCGCTTTGAGCTCGCGGTTTCGTTTCGACCAATCAGCTGGCTGCAAGAAGTAACTTGACGCCGAGGGTTCCAGCGATTGCATCTCATTGGATGAAACCACAGGCGACTCGGATTGGCGGACAACGACCTTTATCTGATTGGATAAAACCAAACGACAATACCATTAAAGACCCGCAGCAATGGCGGCTCGAGACGGGCGCCCCTCGAGGGTCTTCGTGTCCTTGTTGGCAAGCGCCACGTCCACTGACCTCTTGGCGTACGTGCCGTGCATGGAAAACAGCGTCAAGTTCTCGGGTGGTGCGGCCGCTGCGCTGCTGGCCATGCGGTGCGCGGGAAGTCTGCGCTCTGCCTGTGTCGTGGGAGTGCTCTCGGGACTGTTTGCTCACTCGCTGTATGCCGACGTCCTGCGCAAGAGACGCCGACGCAGGCGAGAGAAACGAAGAGGAGCGGAAACAAGAGGACGACAAGGAGAAGGAGAAGGGGAGAGAGGAGAGAGAGAAAGAGGTAGAGGAGTGGCGGACGACGAGGAGGAAGTAGAGGAGAAGGCGGAGGCAGCAGACGCGGAGACGTGACGACAGCGGAAGCGGCACACTCTGTCGTTTGAGTGATTGTGAACCTGTCAGTAGATATGATGACCTGTGCGTCGCTCGTGAGAGCGTCGAGGAAAGGATTTGCGCGCGCAGGTAAAGGCAGTGGAACAAGTAGCAGATGTCTTGTGGTTGAAGAAGACGGGATGCACCACGGACCAAGAGAGTTGCCGCGTGGCGAGAGAACGAGTATAGCGCAAGTTGAAGCACGGCGAGATGCACTGGATCGACGAAGAATTATGAATGAACGTGACGGCAAGCGGTTGTCGCAGATGGCTTGGTGAACGATACGACATTGTTGGTCTTTGACGACATAACGAGGTGCAACTCCTCGAGAGATTCGACAGCCGGTGGACGAAATGAAATGAATGCACGTAATTACAGGAGCATCAGCACTGCTTTCGCTCGCCTCTTTCTCGATTGAAATGTACGAGCACTGAAGGAGGTTGCAACAAGTTGAAGTGTCGGTTTCGAACGTCCATTATCTCCGGTATCGCTTCGGATGTTACGTGTTGTATCGCGAGTCTCTGAAGAACGTCAATGACTTTGTGGCTGCATGTTAGACAGTGGAATGCAGAGCATGTACTGCCTGTCATCGTCTGCTTTGGACGAATACTTCTTCGCTATAGTGTCTCAGTGTCCGCTCTTTAGACGCTCTAATGTCGACAAGCGACATACTTGCGCCAAAAAGAGCTTGCGAACTAGACCTTTCTACACGGTCACCTCACGAGCGCACACCGTCACAGCAGCTATGGCTCACCCATTCTCCACCGCTTCGACTCTTCTCTCTTGCTCTAGCAACACACCCATCTTGTGCAACAGAAGAATGTCGTGTTTGATGAATCTGTCGTTAACTGCTTCTGCTACTTTTAACAGGACCGCTCTGGTTGTTGGCTGGTGCACACCCAGGCAGACAGCTTACGCGACCATACGAAAGCACAATTGACGCACGAGTGGAAGATAAGATGCGCTTGCAGACACGACGTCCATCTTGCAGTCTCCATTCAAACGGCCAATTGTGTGCACAGCACAATGGTCGTCGTAAACATGCTAAACTATGGGAGGGGTCGACGCTGCAAGTCGCTGCCCATCCATTTACGTGTCTGCTCAGATCTTTGACTGGCAAGTTGTCTTGGCATCAGACTTGCGGCAGATGAAGCGCAGTCGCTGTGCTTTGTCACATACGTCTTACTTCGTACGTACAGCTGAGGAACGAGAGTCATCAAAGAGTTCGCTGCACATCTACACGTGTCTACCTAATCAGCACACATGTATGCCGTTGCTATAGCTACTTGCGTGGGTCTTTGCTTCCAGTGGTGCCACCATCCACCTCACTGGCAGCAAGTACGCTCTGCGGATAACAGTCGTAGATACATACACTTTGACGTGCAGTGTGCATAGGAGGGCATGCAAAGATTTGCGTGACTCAGTAGATGTGCTCGTTGAAGAAGAACGTATCCAGGCGACGTTTTATACGCTGTTCATTTGGTGTCACCCGACCGCTGTTGGAAGTTGATCATTGTAGATATGCACTGTCCTCGTTGGCGTCGTCCCAAGAGGAACGCGCGAAGTCGCGAATAGCGTCGGCCGTTGTTCCCGAACAGTCGCTGAGTCGGCACTAACTGAGTCGACGAGTGTTTGGAGACCAGCAATCCGTTTTACCTGACGCACGTAAAGGAGAAGGACGGAGAAGGACGGGGAATTACACAAGTGGCCATCACGAAGGTCAAGTCAGGATCCACTCATCCACTTGAGTGCAAAGCGCATATCTGGTTACAACTGCGGCCTATTGGCCTGGATGACCAGTCAGTCAATGGGCTTCAGCTGACGCACCTCACGTGTTCCATAAACAGGTTGTTGACATACTGCACTCGAACAAACGTGAGGAACCGATGATACGAAACACCTGAGATGCAGTTCAGCACTTTTCGAGCACTCGCTCCTCACTTGCACGTGGTCACATGGAGTCGGTACTCGGTCTATCAAGTTCCACCGACAAAGCTCGTGCAGTCGTACGCGCTGTTGGTCGAGAGCACCTGACTCTAATTTGACCCGCGCCATCCATACTGGGGAAAGATGCATGAAAGTGCGTCAATGAAACGCCCGTCGTCTACGTTTGCATGGACTAATGCAGGGCCACAACAGGCGTTGATGCTCGTTAGCAAGTCCCGAAGTTGGACTGCTCGCACAACTCGACGAGACCATCGTTTGTTGCTCAGCGAGCCAGTTGCTCATCGCACGCCATAAACGGCATACGCGAGATTGGTCATTCGCTAGACGTGCACGCTGCTTTCCTTCCTGCCCCTTGCTAGCTACAAGCTTCTCTTGCAGCACTTCCATCGAGTCGGGCTTCGAGGTTCCAACTAGGGTGGCAGGTCTTGCCAGATAGTTCTGCACGGAGCGGACGCAAGCAAACGAGGCACGAAACGAGTTGTTGCCTCGCACGTCCACCAGATCTGTCTGTCTGTCGAAGAAGTATCGCCCAGCTGGAGCAAACGTATCGTAGACAGAGGGTGGACACATCAGTCAGCTGCATGGGGTGGACTCGGTCGAGCAGTTGTATCGTCAGTTGTCGAGCTTTGACGTGTCTACCACAACTGGACGTGTACGTACATATCCCCTCGATACAGCTCTTCACAATGACATACTTACTGCTGCAGCTTACGCCTTTTTGCAGCATTTCTTTGACCGCTCTGCTGCTGCTGCTGCTGCTTGTTGTCGTCCAGATGGCACAGGAACGAGTCAGCACGCAATGTCGAGGCAACCGAACGACAGGAAGCGCTCAAGTCGATGCAGTGGCAAACGAAAGTGGATTCGGACGGCTAATCCGTAGTGAACGACGCTCGATCTCGATGCTGTGGGGCACACGCGCTCGAGACGCACGCAGCAACAACACTTGCCATGCAATGGTGCGAGCACCGGTTCGATTCTCGCAACTCAGCAGCTCTTGCTGATCGTAGCGCCGCTCGAGCTGAGCATGCGGTTGATACGCTTTAGCTCCTGGCGACGCGGTACGGGGCCCCGTCGAGTCCATGCAGTCAATTGCAGTATGCGCTGCTCGAGCACTTCTTCGCTCCACAGCAACGTGTCCCCCGAGGAGCTACAACAACGAGCCCACACAAACCTCATCCTGTCACAAGCAGCCACGTTTGTCACACATGTTCTGCCTTCCTCAGGCGACAGCAACCCACCCACCCGCTCGGGACGTCAGCGTCAACCGTCGTACATGTCTCGGCGCTCTGTGGACCACAGCGACGTCCATGCCGCAGTGGCATGTACCCTGCCCAGCAGCACTTGTCAACGCCTTCCCTTTCACCTCTTGCATCCACTTGCAATTAATTCTTCACACAGTCCTCACCTTCTGAAGGCACCGGCGGATGTCCCATGTCTGTCACCACTGCCATTTCAGTAGTCTTGTACAGCTCAGCCCACTTGTCACTCGTGCAGAAACCACTGCCGTCACTCGAAACCGCTCGTGTCGCTTCCTGGTCGTCTCCAGCGGTTGCTTTGCCGTCAAACGTCGTCGAAAAAGCCGCGTCCTGTCCACGTACTTCTGCAGCCTCGTTTCCGCCCTCTTGCATCGTCATGTCCACGTCCTCCACGCTGCCGTCCAGACACAGAACTTCCACTTGATTCTGCATCTCTTGACTCTATTGCGTTGCGTGGCCACCAAAGAAGCCGTCAACCAGACCGAATCGCCCGCAAAGACACACACTCAGTCGCCGATAGTACGCGGCAGAAAGAGGGCTTGACGACCCCTTTCTTGCCAACTTTTTCTCTATTTTTATGCCACGCAGTCGCAAAAGCGATTCCTATTCATACACAACAACGCAACATGCAGAGCGCGAGCCAGTCACGCACCGGTGACACGTCGTCATCATCACGTAACGATGTCATCTGTCCAGCGCACTTTGTTGACTGACGGCTCCCGTGCCTTTCGGATGTAGACTTTCGTGTGGCGCACATGGAGCCGAATCAGAGGCGATTGTCGGCAAAGACACCGGTTTGCAGCCACGGGTGCGCCAATGCCTCGCGGGCCGAGACGCGATGCAGTGGGTCCATTTGCAGCAGTGCGCGCAAAAAGGCCAGAAAGTCGGCATCTTTCGTGTGCACGGCTTCTTCTAAGGTGGGGCCATCGAGAGCAGCAGTCAACACGCCATTGCCCATGTGATCCAGTGTAAATAGTCCAGTGTCGAGCAATTGGTGCTGCAACTCCTCGCGGTCCGCTAGCAAAGACGCAGGAATAGGACCTGACAGCATGCATGAAAACATCAACGATTAGTCGGCTGCCAAGCAAAACGAACACGACGATCGATCGTGCAGTGTACGCACCTATTGTCGTCAAGATCCGAGCCAATAGAGTCTGCTCCGAGTCGTTGCGAAAGAGCACTTCCCCCGTGTACATCTCGGCGACGACACATCCGAGCGACCACAAATCAATTTTCGTGTCGTACAGTAGTCCGAGAATCACCTGTGACAACAGCATACGGTCAGACCCATGGTGTGGCTCATACCACAGTACTATCGAGTCCAGCGTACCTCTGGGGCCCGGTACGAACGCGATTGCACATACGACGTGAGCTCGTCCGTAGTGAAACACGCTGATCCAAAGTCAATCACCTTGACCGTGCAGGCGCTGAAGTTTTGAATCAAGATGTTCTCTGGCTTGAGGTCGCAGTGCACGATTCCCAACGAGTGCAACGTGTCTAGCGCTTCCAGCACCTCGATCGTGATCTTTTTCAGACGAGGTATGCTGAAGTAGTTAATCACACCGCGCTGTAGCAGCAAGCGAGAGAATTCGTACAGATTGTCGCGAAGAAGCTGTAAACAGCATTGAGTAAGTAAGGTCCGGAACGGGCAAGCAAGCAGCTGTAAAGGAATCGACAGATGCTTTGGTGCACCGACGCACCTCTGTCACTATAACCAGGTGCTCGCGGAAGTAAAATGCGTCCAAGAGACGAACGAGATGCCGTTCGTCTACTTTGCAGTTGTGGTCAATGTACTCCAGTACACGAATCTCATCAACGCCCTGGTCGAAGTATTCCTTGTTGTTCTTGATAATCTTGAGGCACACCACCTGATCCGTAGTCGTGTCGATGCACTTGTACGTTCGGCTGAATACCGCTTCGCCAATTGCTAGCTCAACCTGCACTTCCACACCAGACATTGACATGTGTGTAAATCACAGCGGTTCACTTACCATAAACAGGTCGATACCCACCTTGTATCGATTTCCAATCATGACCCCTGCACGAGGTCGCCAATCCCGATTCGGCTCGAATCCGGTGCGATTCTTTTCTCGGATTATACGGAGCTGGAACTCTTCGTACTCCTTCGGACCGTCCTCTTCGCCTTCGGAATGTACGCTCCCTTCAAGGTCAATGCACACGTCGTCGCCATCTTTGATGTCGACCGTATGCACGGTCCCTGCCTTCTGTTTAGACTTGCCATCCAGATCATGCTGAAACGTAGTCACTTGGCCTCGAGTCGGAGAGCTCAGAATAAACGGCCGCCCCGACAACGTGCTTTGGTGGCTAAACTGAGCTCGGTTGTCGTCTAACTCGTTTTCTCTGCCCCTGCTATCGCCATCACCAACGTCGTCATCGTCCATGTGAAACAGCTTTGCCTCGCTCTCACTCTCGCCGTCCAATATCCCTTCGTCTGCGTCATCTTCATCATCTCCACAATCGTCCTGGAACGTGTCGTCCTCGCAAACAGAGCTCACCAGTTCACTATACACCTCATCTTCCGCCCGAACGTTCTGGTCTTCCTCTTGCGTAAACGCAAACTGATCCGGCTGTCGAGGCCACAGCGCTGACACAGGTTCGCCGTCCATGAACGTAGCTCCAGGTGAAGCAGCCAGTCCAGACGAAGATGGCGGTGAAGTCGAAATGCTCGCAACGCTGTCACTGCTCGCACGCATATCCACAATGCCAATCGGATCCGAAATCATCTTGTTCATTGCCGTGAGTGTTTCGTCCGTCATACAGAGCTGGTGCACGGCTTCGGCCAAGTCGTTCTCGTACTCGTCGTCCATGCCACTGTCACTGTCACTGCTGCTGCTGCTGCCTCTGCTGCTATTGTCAAAGTCCTTTTCCCTCGCTCCGTCCGCAGCGTCAAAGCACTCGTCCCGCGCTTGACCACGTCCAAAGCCATCAATCGACGTCACTCGATGCGTCAACTTGTCCTCCTCACCATCACCACCGCCAACAGCTCGTCCCAGCGCACCCACACGCCGCCCACCCCGACCCACCACGTGCCTGTCCATGCTCCTCGCTTCCTGCCTCGTCTCCGGTTGCGCTCCACCCGCGTCCACGACAACGAACCGGTGCAGCGCCTCGTGCGTCTCCTCGTCGACCTCGTCCGCCAGTCTCTGACGCAGCCCCTCGTTCGCTCGGATCGTCTCCACTGCGCCAGGCACGTCGGCAATCGCCTCCAGTATCTGCTCCACTAACCGCGTGCGCCTCTGCGCCGTCGCGTCGTTTGCACGCGCAAGAAGAGCGTCCGAGTGGACGGAACGGGCACTTGGCGCAGACGTTACGCGGCGCAGAAACGACATGCGCGGGCGAACCGACTCCCTGGGACGAGGCGAGACGCTGCCCGTCCGTCCTGGCGACGAGCACGAGCTGCTGGGCGCGGCAGACGCGACAGCGCGGCGTCCAGAACGAGCGGCCATAGCGCCGCCGGTGCGAGTCCCGAAACAGGGCACGAAACGCGACGACCCGACGGGAGGGCACTCGACAGAGGGACACGACGCTCCCCCGTTTCTGTGCCATTCCCCGGCCATGCCGCAGTTCGTCGCACAGCAGCGGCGCGACGCGAGTCACGAGGCGGTGGACGCGCAGGCGACGACCGCGGAGCAGCTCTTGGCCGCGAGTATGGACGCGCTGGACATGTGCGTGCAGCGGAAAGCAGCAGCGGCGCAGTACAGTGCGCCGCTCGTTGTTATGTCGACGCTTCTGACGCGGTGCACTGGTTTTGACAAAACAAGGTAGGGTTTGGTGGTGGTTGACATTGGCAGACTAGGAGTCGAAACGCTGGTACACATGAATTGGGATCAAGAAGTGAGACTTTATATGGACGATCTGGTTGGGCTGATGTGGTGAAACAATGTTACTGACGATATTGATGGCACTGATGATGATGCTTATGGTGATGATGATCCTGATGATGATGACGACGATGATTTTAAATGCTACAAAGTGACGTGATAGGGAACGAAGGCACGAGAGGTGAAAGTCGCAGTGTCGAGGTAGGTGCTTTGTTGCGTTTCGCTCTTTGTCTTGTTTCTGTTTTGGTGTTGCTGTTGTTGTTGTTGTCGTTGTTGTCGTCGTCGTTGTTGTAGAGAGACGTGATCAACGTGTTGTGCTGTACTATTGTCGTTGTTCGATGCTGTATATGTGTGTGCAGAAATGTGTGGACAGAGCTCTACTGGTAGCAAGAGGAGGAAAGCACGTGCTGTTTCTGGTGCGGGACCCGAAAGCAGTGACGAAGAGACTGCTTTTTGCCGCAACGGGTGCAGCAGGGAACGCGATTGATGTGCTTGCTGAGGAACTCCTGCATCGTATTTCGTTTCGCCAGTGTCGTAGTGTCTATGAGCTGCTACAAGAGCTCGATCGTGTGGAAAGGAGTTGGCAGGTACGTGCTCTGCTGTGCTATGCTGTAGTGTGGCGGTGTGCGGTAGCTGCTGTATGTGGTCATAGCGATCGCCTGAGCGTGTCATGTGACTGACGAGACATGAAGAGCAGGAGACGCAAGGACGGGTTGATGTGCAGTATGTGGCGTTAGGACCGTTGTGTGATTTCTTCTCAGGGTTCGAGACCGCTGCAGGCATCACAGTTACGGGTACGAACGAACCTGTTGTTGCAAGTCATGGCAATTTGGAAAGCTAAAGAGTGACTTTGGTTGCAACTGATTGCGCTGCATCAGGTGCTGGGCTCAAGCGCATGCTGGAACTGGCTATCAAGCGGTTGAGGGGGACGACGGGTGTCCACGTCAGTGTCATGGCAAGTACATAATGCTACTTCGACCACGCACCACTTCGAAAGTCATGGCAGATCGGCAGATCGACAGACACCACACCACAACAAGACAATATCTGATACTGCGTTGCAAAGACATCGCCTAAAGTCCTCCAGAAAAAGCGCGTAAGGTCTCACTCAACGAAAGACCTCAAGTCTCGATGCCTAAACAGCAAACAAACCCGCGACATTTGGTGCGAACCGCTCGTTTTGACATCCAGCGCAACTTCTCCAAAACCGTAGGCATAAAACCTCACAAACAAGCGTCTACCGTCACTTTCTGCGTCTACCGTCACTTTCTGCGTCTACCGTCATTTTCTGCGTCTACCGTCACTTTCGGCGTCTCTCACACTTTATACCCCGTCGTCACCCGCAAGTCGCACGCGCTTCGATGGACGTCCCTCAGACGCGCAGCGCTCGGCCCTACGCGCACGTGAGCAGCGACAGCCTCTCCCCTGAAGACCGCAGTGGGCCCCTGAGCGTGTGTCTCGAAGAAGACGACGAGGACGACGACGAGAGCTGCTCGACGTCCGAGACGACGCAGCTATTGGCCGAGACCGGTGCCGCCCGCAGCGGCCATAGTCAACTCAAGTTGAAAACTAAACATAAATTACCGGACGTGGCACTCGAGTCTGCCGATGCTATTGAGCTCTTGAGCACGACAATGGGACAACAGAAGAAGAAGAAGAAGAAGACGATGAACGGAGAAGAGGATGTCGAAGACAAAGGAGAAGAAGGAGAAGAAGAAGAAGAAGAGGAGGAGAAGGGCAAAGTCAAGACGTCGTACGTCTCGCCGTCCGTTGTGGTCTTTTGGCTTGCCATGTGGTTTTTCCAGAACATCAGCGTCACGTTCTGGAACAAAAAGGCGCTCAGTGCGCTGCAACTGCCCGTGACGCTCACGTTCGTGCACATGGCGTGCAACACACTGGGCGCGTGCCTCTTCATTTATGTGTACAAGGGCATCGACCGCAAGCCGCTCAAGCCTGGCCAGACGCAGCTCATGGTCTCATTTTCGCTCATCTTTGTGAGCAATATCATCACGGGCAACTGGAGTCTCGGACTCGTGTCGATCTCGTTCAATCAGGTGATGCGCGCGCTCGTGCCGTCAGTTGTCGTCGTGCTGAGCATGCTCATCTTGGGCAAGACGTACTCGCTGGAGCGGAAACTGTCTCTGATTCCGGTAGCTTTTGGTGTCTACTTGGCGTGCACGGGCGACAACTCGTGCACGGTCATTGGGTTCATCATTACGGCGGTGGCCGTGCTCTTTGCTGGCTTGAAAGCCGTGCTGTCGAACAAGGTACGGCTACTGTTGTGCTGGGTGTAGAGAGGGGCCATGATGTGTGTGATGCTGGACTTACGGTGGCACGCACTGTTGTTTTGTGGGCATGCAGTTCTTGAGTGGCGACTTGAAGCTGCACCCGGTGGACTTGATCCTGCACCAGGCACCCTTGTCGGCGTGCTGGTGCTTGGCCACAATGTTTCTGTCCGGCGAGGTGAACACTATCGTGACCAACTGGGAAGCTGTGCCGTCGGCCAGTTTCTGGTTCATCCTGACCGGCATCATCAGCTTTATGCTGAACGTCACGAGCTTTATGGCGAACAAGGTCACGTCACCTGTGACGTTGTGCGTGTGCGGGAACATGAAGCAGGTTGTCGTGATTGTCATGTCGATTTTCATCAACAACGATGTGATTACGGTGCAGAAGGCCATTGGCATCGTCGTTGTATCGATCGGCGGTGCTGCTTACGCGTACATCTCGACAAAGGAGACAATGAGTCAAGCTACTGTTCCCGCGCCAGCTAAGCCTGCGGTGCAAATGCAGTCAGCCTGATACTGACTGCAACGGCTGCTGGTGTGACTTGCTTGTTTCGTCGCGAAGGATTGCTATGGACAGTGACTCGGGGGGTTCATGAGACAGAAATGCAAGGACAAACGTAAAGTTACTTCGAGCTCATTGGCAGCACGCGGTCTGTCTCTACTCAGCAAAGCAGACTGAGTCTCGATGAGTACGGAAGGCCATCACGTGTGGCTGCTGCCTCGCTCGTCACTCGTGCGAAGGTGCGCATGAGTTGGCTACTTGTCGTCTTTATCGGCTTTGAAGCGCTGCAAAGAGCATCCGATGCCTAGATGTTGGGTGATCGGACGACCTGTGACAAAGTGGAAGACGAAGTTACCGGTGAGAGCAACTTGTGCAGCTTTGGGAGTCGCAAGTGTGTAAACTGCTGCTGCTGCTCGTTGTGGTCGTGTGGTCGTTCGTTTAGAGAGAAAAGTTTTTCGTTTTGTTTGCATGATGCGGTGCAAATACATTCTTTTGCAACATGTGATGCAGGAGAGTGTAACTACAGCGAATGTGGATAAAATACCGGCTACTTCGAGCTGGCTGAGAGACAGAGGTAATTTACGAGAGCATGTCAGGGGTCGTCCGTTTTGCACCTGCGTTGTTCGAGGCGCATTGAGTTGGTGACCGCTTGCGTCGTCAGGGTGTTTAAAACAGCGAGCTGAATGACAAACCCGAATGTTCGAAGTGAACTAGAAAGCAATTAATTGCAGCACGTGGTTGCGAAAGACGACAGCTCATGGCAATCACTTATTGGCAGTAATTGTTTTAGTACGCTGTACTTCCCATCCATCCGCTGTTTAAACACCTTTTTGTCTCCCCTCGTGCAACGAAAGGATAGTGATGTGCTCCTGTGCAAAACACAAGACTGACCTGCCAACTATAATCTGTTTCCAGGTCGCGACCTACAAGTGAGCGCCCATCGTCATCTATCAGGTATCAAAGACGACGCCCTTCACATGCAGCGACGGACCGTCGCTTCCATGACAATCGTGCGCTCAATCATTTGCTTGTAGACGCAGCTCTTGAGATTGCTCTCACAAACACACACTTCAATCTTCTTGTGGCCTACCTGAGGTGACGGGTGACTTCGCGTCACCGTGTGCTCTTGCATCGTATGGTCGCTGCATGTGGATCCACAACAAGTTCAACAGCCGTACTTCCTCGCAACGACGTGTGTGGCAAGCCACTGTGCTGTTGCCGATCATTGTTACGCCGTGAGCAAAATCGCGTCTACCGCACGTTGGACATGATCGACAACAACACAGCAGCTGTTTGTCCCAAGCAAACGCGCGAGCAAAAGTAGCAAACGGTCTGATGAATGCAGTTCGACAACACGTGCAGCTGAAAGATTGTCATACTCTGCCAACCAGCCGTCATCTGCATCCTGCCCAGCTCGGCTCTCGAGTCAGTGTGTCATTGTTGCCACCATCGGGATGCACCCGAAGCGCAAAAAGGTCATTCCTTCATTGCAAACGAGACAGCAGTGGAAACAAAAAGACGACGCAACAGCTGCCACGCGCGACCACAAGCTCCAACTACTGTCCACACACGTACCCCCACGCAATGCATGCGCGGCCCGACGTTTTCGCAAAAGCCGATCGCTCTTTGCATGAACCATAAAACAAAGACCAAGTGTCGCGACCCAAGAACCCCCCCCCCCCAGAAAGCAAGAACGGTAAAAAAAAGTCATTCTTTCGCATGCGGCTGAAAAAGTGCGTCGCGTCGCACTTCCACTTTTTCTCGCCCCCAGCGCTATCCCACGCACCCACCCCGAGCCTCCAGCCTCGAAAGTCCCCACGTCGCCCATCTCCCCTCGCGCCAGTGCCACCCCCACCCCACCTCGCCCACCCTTTTTCGTGTCTGCTTTTTCCGTCCGCCCCCTCTCGCCGCAGTAGTTTACATTTTTTTTTCTTCGCCCGGCCACTGGCCCTCGGCGTAATTTACCGCCACTGCGTCACTTCCATCGCTGCTGCCGCCGCATGTCCGCCGCAGGTCCGCCGCTCGCCGCGGACGTGCAGCTCGACGAGCGCCAAATGTACGTCGTCGAGTGGGCCGACGGCGCCGTCTTCGGCTTTACCGTTGCGCCCGTGCAGTCGGACCGCGGGCCGGTGCTGTGCCTCGCGCGGCGCACGGCCGCCGACGCGTCGGTCGGTCTGCAGGACGTCGTCCCGGGCGATCTGCTGGTGGCCATTGGACCGGACAAAGTCTATCACATGGGCGCGACGCAGGCGACGAACCGCTTGCGGGCAGTGCCCAAACCCGTGCGGCTCACGCTGCAGCTGTCGCCGTTCGGGGCCGACGCCAGTGCGGCGGCGGCGCCACTGACGGAGCTGCCGCCGCTCGCGCCGCACGAGTGTACGTACGTGTGGACGTCGGGGCCGCTGGGGATCGTACTGACGACCGACGCGGTTAGTAAGTTACCGCGTGTGAAGCGGTTTACCGGTAAAGCCGACAGTGTCGCGCTCGCGCGCGAAGTCCAAGTGGGCGATGAACTGATTTACGTGAACCAGACGCCCACGCGGGCGCACTCAATCGCAGCGATTATCCATCTGATTCGCGAAATGCCGAAACCCATTACGCTCCGGTTCCGCAAGAACCCGTTGCCCGAAGCCCACGAGACGGCGCTGCCCGAAGGCGACTACGACTTTCTGTGGGAGTTTGGCTCGCTGGGGTTAGTCGTGGGCACGTCGGCCGACGGGTTACCGTATGTCCGGTCGTTCACGGGCAAAGGCACGTCGAAGCAGCTCGCACAGGTACGGGAGAACGACGAGATTGTGATGGTGAACGACCGGTTGGCGTCGGAGCTCGGCTTCCACGAGACGATGCAGTACATTATGAATGTACCAAAGCCCGCGCTGATCCGGTTCCGTCGACCGGCTGCAAACCAGAGGAAGACCGGGATGCTCGACCAGTCTGCCAAGAGCACGATGTCGCTGTTGACGGCGCAAACGGCTGCAATGGGCGTGAATGGAGAGCCGCCGCACCTGCAGCGCACGTCGTCTGTCGGCCCTTCTGCGTGTGCAGCGGGGTCCCCACCAGCTACTACACTGGTGCGGAGCCAGTCGTCGTCGCACTGCAGTTTGGCTGCTGATGAGACGGACGCGAGTCCTGGTATACTGGCCTACCGAAGCACGCGCAGCAACAGTTCGTTGCCAATAGTTCGTCGCCAGAACGTGGCAAAACACCAGGGTCAGCCATCGCAAGCTGGACAAGGGGTAGAGGACTTGACGTTTGGCCAAATGGCTTCAGCACAGGGCTACGGAGACACAGGCTATCGGCATCAGCAGCCGCCGCCGCCGCATGAACCATACCATGAGCAAGTGCCACTGCAACAACAGCAGTCGTTCTACCGGTCATCGCAAGAAGGACAGCAGCAGGCTCGAAACGGGAGTCTAGGGGAGGACGGCGACTTCTACGAAATCGACTCGGACGCGTACTACCAAATCCAATGGACCGATGGTCCGTTCGGCTTCACGGTGCGTGAAGCGCAATCGGAGCAAGGCTCCGTAGTCCTCATTACCAAACGCACGGGCAAAAGCACGTGTGCCGGTCTGCGTCGTGTGGCCGTAGGCGACATCCTGATAAAGATTGGAAACAAAGACGTTCGCCAACTGGGGTTCGAGCGGTCGACAATGCATTTACGCAACGTCCCGAAGCCCGTGTTGTTAACTTTCCAAGCCATCGATTAGCAGAAGCCCAGCGGTTTGTTTGTCTCGATCGCCATGGCAGCTAGAATGTGTACAGAAGACACTGGGAGCGGTCGAATGATGCGATTGTGGAGATATGGATCCAAGACTTTCATTTCTCGTCGCTGTATCCGTAAAACGACAGCTTCGTCGCTGTAGTAGCTGGTACGTATCCCAGATCTCACTCGATTTCGTTTTTCCGGAATGTGTGCCACAACGCATCGACTGTCCACTTGCGCCTATAACCCGTCACTTCGTCCTTCTGGTGCTCAAAATTGACATTTGACGAAACCCGTCGCAAAGACAGCGCCAAGATTGCATGGCAGGTCAAGCTCCACGAGCTAGTGACCGAAAGACATTACCGCTTTGGACGCATCGTTGGTGCTAATTGTGCTTATTGAAGAATACGAGAAGTGGCTTGCTTCTGTACGAATGACAGTAGAATGGCGCTAATACAAAGGCCAGCAATGACATCGGAAGCATGTATCGTTGAAGCCAGTGGTGATAAACAAGTTGTTGGGTGTTGTGTTTTTTGTAGTCACCTGGATACTGTCAAGTCATGTATTGGGTCTGAGAAAAATTGCGAGTGATCATGGAGGCCTAAGATGGTGGCAAGTTATTCTATCGTTGCATATTCTTCCGAATGGACGGACTGGAGCCGAGGTACAGCCGGCACAATTCGTAGTACGAAAGCCAGCACACAGAAGATTATACAGCTCAGGGTCGTAGAAACTTGCTACATTCTTGAGTCGTATCGAGACCTGATCCTGACGTTGATATCCGCGTGCGCGGTTTGCCATGTTTTGATGTCTGCCGGAAGGTATACGCAAGCTTCGAGACGATGGCAACCGAGGTTTCGAAGGTATTAGCTACGTCGGTTTGTAAAGGTGCCCACAGCTTTGGACGAAAACGGGGTCGAGACAATGAAAGAAGCACGTTTTCGTATACCAGGTACACTCTGCACTTCGTAGAAGCTGTGGCAAAACGTGCCGTATGCTGTGTTAGAAGTTTGAGCTCGGGCCGTGTTGCTATCTTTGATAGCACTTCGCCAAAGCTCTGACGGCACTGGAGACTCCCGCCTTGCTGTAATCACGCAGGAAGACAAGGGACTGCAACCCACTTTACATGCAGGTCAACATCTACAAACAAGACGCACCTTCTAACTGCTCGTTGCACATTCTTACTTGCATGAGTGCTGTCAGGGCGGCAGATATGACTCAAGCGTCCATCATGCCCAACGCGGACAACGTAGTAAGATCTTAGTGGAAATAGTCCACGAATGAGCAGCTGTAAAGGCAGTCAAAGGGGTCAGATCAAGTGCTCTGCCACGGGTCTTACCACCACTTTCCGCCCGCCTGTCAGAAACCTCACAATGCCCGATGATGTGTATCTTGCAAAACTCATGACGACGCTATCACAGGGAAGCAGTAGTCATGAACGATATGACCGATTATGCTCCTGTGCTGAACTGGTAGACGATGCATGATTGATGATTCATAGACCTTACGATCTAGCACAGAAAACAAATGACGCTTCTCGCATTCGTGGTAAAGCGAGCATCTACGAAGTGCTGACGAAGAAGTCGGACGTCGATGCTGCTTGTGTACAAGAAGAGAAAGAGGCTCAGAAGTTCCGCTACAAGATACGCTTCTCATCTTCGTAAAGCCGCCTTTGTAGTCAGTCGGTTGCATGAATGGAATACGTGTCGTGTGTCCGTGATCGTCTATCATGGTTTGTAGCGTATCGGTGCTTTTGATGTTGCAGGTCGTCATCGTATCGGTGTTTGTTGAGCGGAGGATCTTAGCTCTGCATTCGATTTCGGTGAGCTTTCATATCGCAATGGCACATATCGAGTTTGCCTTGTCAACTACTGGGGCGGGTCGTGTTACGCGCCTGTTTAAGCTACGACGCGATGCAAGCGAGAAAACACGTCGGAGCGTCGAGAAAGACTCCCTGGGTCGGCAAGGTCTGCCCACGACAAATGAAAAAGACTGTGCGTTCGTGCGCAACTAAAGGTAAAGGTGTTAAATGGTGACTTAGAGGTGAAGTAATAGAGGGCGCATACAGACGACGACGGAAGGAGAAGTGTAGCTACAAGTACGAGGAAATGATTCGCTCTGATAATGACAGGTACGTCGCACAGTACTTTGTTGCAATTAACCGAGGGCATACAAGCTTCATTCTCTGATTGATATCAAAGGAAATAAGAGCCGCGATGGCGCAACATCATTTGCATGCTCAACCGACTGGAGTGCGTTCATCGACGAGAGAGTAAGCACGAGCCGCAATCAATGCACTTGAACCCATTTGCTGGATCAGTGAGTGCTGATGCGTTCATAGGATGTGGCAAGTGTACGCAACGTGTGCAGTCGAAGTCACAGCGATATAGGCGAATTTGAGCCAGCTTCCAACAAACTTTGTGATCACACTCAGGATGAGACAAATGCCGACCTCATAAGTGTGACGCCAGCTTCGGGCGGAGACGAAACTGCGACGACATTGCTGTTGTTGTTCCTGGCATCATGGCCAACCGTCTGAATTGGTCCCAGTAAGTGTGGCCATCTCAAAGGGAAGCGGACCACAATACCCGCTACTGGGAAAGTGCGATCCATGAAATGCAGTACGGACAAAAATGACAGTACCCACAGTACCCATTCGTGTGGACAAACTCCTGGCGATAGGATGCATTGTAGCACACGGGTCTTTGCCCAAGCTCGGCTCTGTTGCAACGTCGTGCCACATGCCACGCCCATCGACGATGCGTCACTTGTATCTCCATTACAAGTGATGCGCCGTCGATCTACGTGGCACGATCCAACTGGAATGCTGAGGGTCACCCTTCATCACCAGCACTAAGTGATAAATGCTTGCCATTGTCTGTCATCCTTGACTGCTTTTGGTGCACAACATTCGCTAGCAATGCATCGCCCCCGCACATATCGGAGTCATGCGGCTACCATTTGTCAGCATGGCGATTGCTGAGTTTATCTCTTCGTCCTCGATGCTTGCCATTTATCAGATGTGTCATTTGCGAGGTCCACGATAATATCGCTCGCTCGGCTCTTCGTGAGTTCTTGCGCGTTGTGCGACTCACACTCGTCTTGTTGGTATTTGTGGACAAATGGTGTTCAGCCAAGACGCAAAGATACATTGCGAAGTCTGGAAATATACGTGACTTCACCAATACATTGCGGTTAGCAGAACTGAAGAGTCACTACGTCACACATCAGAAGTCAAGAAGCCAAATCATGTACATTGTAATATTAATAGTTAAGTACCAAGTCATTCTGGACTGAAGACAATTGAAACGGAGACGCCTCCATTCCTGTTCGGGTCGAGTTTAGTTCAAAGTGTGACACGTAACTAGCATCATGTGCAGTCTGAGATGTTTGAAATGCAGTTCTGGATCAGCTGCAGAAAAGAGAAGCGAGTGAATGGGTGGGGGGGGGTCTGGCGTTAGACAGAGTAAACATCACCGCTCAGTAGCATAAGGATCGATAAAATAGCATATCATGAAGAAGGCACCTCTATGGGCAAACACAAATAAAACGAGTACACTATTTATCATCACCGACTTTCTAAGTTACGTACAAAATGCTGCGCCGAGTGCTTGCTGAACAGTGCGCTGTGATTTCGGACCAAACTAAGGCGGACAACAGGTGTGCGTTTGCGCTTGAAGCCCTTGTTTCCAAGTGTTGAAAGCGAAGAAGGAGCAGGTCTAAAAAGCGCTATTTGTTATCGCTGAGCAAAATTGTCCAAATGAAAAGTAAGGCAAACGTTTCTCCCAAATACACAATACGCGACACGCAACAAAAGCAGGCGGCTGACTCTTTCCGCAATCCCAATTTGCCAGCCACCGGTCACTCGCTGACAACGCGAAGCTGCAACGCAATTGTTACCGGGCGCTACAGAAAGAACAGACAGCGAGTCAATAAAGACGTGGCCCTGCTGTCGGAGAAGAGAACCGACCGTAAGTCAATGAGTACAAGTCCTGCTGTTTACCTGTGGCTAGCAACTGACCAGATGTTGCAGCAATCTGTCGACACATGTAATTTCCTATCCCATAGGGGATAGAGCTCTAGGTAAAAGCGATCGTGAAGGTACAGCTACTCATAAACGCTTCTTCATTTTAGACGCCATGCCTTGTACAGGATGAGCACGTAATGTACACGCGCATACATACTATGCTCGTGCTCACGTATCGCCATTTATTATGTTGGGGCGACTTCGCCAGTCGCCCGTCGATGCGATTTGCGATGCCGTCGCAACTCCGACTGCATACGTTGTGTTCTTTTTAGGTAAAAGTGCAGGATAAAATACACAGCTGTTTACAAATAATTCTATCATTCCAAGCGTTGCACCGCACACAGGATGGGCACCGAACTGTAGATGTGCATGAGTTATACTCGTTCATGCATGCGTGCCCTATGTTGGGACAGGCTTTACAAGCTGGCCGCCCATTGGATTTGAGATACGACGCAACTCGAACAACAGACGATCTGAAGTCGGCCGAAGGATATAAAGTATTCGACGGGTGGGTCTAGGTGTGGCCCTAAGCCCACACCTTACACAGGCTGCGCAATTTTTTTACATGATCATCGATTATGTCCATGGGCATTTCCCCTATATCGGGGCAGCCTCTACTGGCCATCCGTCCTTTAAAGTAGAGATGAGGTCGCAACTCCAAGTGCAGACGGGTCATTAGTCGATTGTAGAACAGAGAGTATTCAACCGTGTGCATCGTCACTCTGTCCGCACCAACTGTGCCGCAAGCAGCACCCGTGGCGGAACTGTAGTAGAGAAGCGGCGAAAGAACGACGCAGAGGCAATCTCCCAACTTGCTCAGTTGCAAATTTCCTTTCGACCCCTCAAGTATCTCCAACAACTTCACGAGATGTTGCCGCATTCTCAGCGAGCACGCACCTTCACCCCTTTACTGTATGCTCTCGCGCTATTGCAATGCTGTCTCAACTGCACCGCCGCTGTGGTCATTGGTACTCCGCCTGGCCTTGCATTTGGCACAACGGGAGGAGGGAATGCTGCACCGGTGTATCCGACCACCATCAACGATCTACGGAGCCTTTTGAGCGATAATCAGCCCCGAGTCATTGTCCTCAAACGAGCGTTCAATTTTGTCAACACTGAAGGCACGACGACGGAAAAGGGTTGCCGTCCCAAGAACAACCTAAACTGCATTGCCAAGAAGAACGGCTTTCAGGGACAAGACGCCATTCAGCCAAGATTCAGTAAGTGCGATGGCTCAATTGTGGATATCACTTACGACAAGGCGGCTATCACCCCCCTTGTTGTTGGTAGCCACAAGACGCTAGTGGGCGATGGAATGAAGGGCGTGCTGAACGGCAAGGGCCTCATCATTACTGGCAGCAATGTCATCGTTCAGAACATCCACATTACCAACCTAAACCCACACCTCGTGTGGGGAGGTGATGCCATAACTATTCGAGGAGCATCAACTACTGCTCCTTCGAAGAATATCTGGATCGACCACATCAAGGTGTCAAGCATCGGGCGCCAGATGGTCGTCATCAACTTTTCCGGCGCGACGGGACTCACGATCAGCAACTCAGACTTTGACGGTAGTACCAAGTTTTCTACGTCTTGCGATGGGCGGCACTATTGGGGCTTCTTGATTTTGGGAAAACAGACGGAGCTCAGTTTGTTGGGAAACTATCTGCGCCAGATGTCAGGACGATCGCCGAAGGTCGGGGGTAGCAACGGAGATCTGGCTGTCGTTCATGCCGCGAATAACTACTTCGAAGACAACTCTGAACACGCCTTCGAGGCATCTACCGGCGGATTAGTTCTGGCGGAAGGCAACTACTTTGAGTCTGTCCGAAGACCGAACGTGTACAACCCGAAAGGAAGCTTTTTGGTCCCAGGTGCTGGTGTTGACTGCCAGGCTAACCTCGGCCGCAGATGTATGCCGAACGTGCTGAGCAAAAGCGGGACGCTTTACAACATTGCAGGAGACGCAGTGATGACGAAGATGAGCAAGTTGAAGGCACGAATCGGTGCTAGCAAGGTGCACGCAGCGGCCAAGCTTTCTCTTGCAACGGGTACCTTTGGCGTCAATGCTTACGATGACGACAGAGTCGACCAGATGAGCGCCGTACAGGAGACAGTGCGACGATCTACCAAGTAGATCGTAGCAACGTGACCGTCGGGCAGGCTTTATGGATGTATATTGCACGTTTTTTTCAGTCGTATCGTGTAGACGTAGTTTTGACATCAGTGCGTGTGTTCCAGGGGACAACGTCATTCGAATACTTTGTGTTGTTTGACTTTACTTGACTTCCTTTATAGGCGGTGAGGTGCCAGACACATCTTAGCCGTCTTGCAAATGAGCCCACCCTTCTTAGCGAGTTATCTTCGATACAGATTGAAACTGTCTTGGCTGATGATGATAAACGTCAGATGGAATGCATGTGCCCTTTCATGGAAATAGAGCAGCTTAGTTGGTAGAGTCGATTATCTCGCTAAGAATGCTACAATCTACATATGATACTATCAACAAATGTTGAGCAAGTGTTCGTCTAGTCGATATTGTGCAAGTTTGGTGAGCAACGTTGCGATTCAAGCAGTCAGTAAAAAATACAACCAAGACCTCGTGAGTCAACTTTTGTTTATATCGATTATGCATCATTCTAGTTGTGCGTACGACCCATGGTCAACATTGGTAGCATAGCTCACCTGCCGAAAATGTTTTTGGCACCTCGTGAAAAGGCATGGCTGTAGAGACAATCATGCAAATTTGCAAGTCGAGATCGCTCACAATACATTCAACTGCTTCATCGAAACGGTTGCAACGCGCGTGATTGCTCGCGCGTCCACGCTTGCGTTTCCATTCTCCATAATCCACTCCCATTTTTTTCTTCGCACCATGCTTCTTCTTTCTGCATTGTAGGGGTAATGCTGAGAGCACCCGCGTAACTGGTTTCGCGCCATACATCTTTTCCGAGTATACAAGTATGCTTGTTGCGACAGTCAGCATTCAACAAATATTCTCGCATACTACAATTTAGATGCTCGTTCCCAATCTTTGTATTTCACCAAATGCAAAGCCTTCTATGCATGTGTGGTATGCCAACGACGCAGCATAAGGGAACTTAAGCACATCATTTCCTTTGATGTTGACACATTAAACGGATGCGCGCTTATCATCATTGCAAACCCAAGCAGAAGCGTTCAATTTGTACCAGTTGTCGAGTTACGATTGAAGATGTTTTTGTCTGGACGATCATAGGCCTGGAGTGGTTGGCATGTTCTACTAAGCACCAAGTTGTGTACTAACGTGTTTGTAGAGAAGCTTGCTCTCGCAACTTAATTACAAGGAATAATGTGATCTATTTATGACAGCAACATACCCTCTCTTCAGGACGATGAGTTGCGACATGCAACACCTGCATCCGACTCGTCCCTGACAGAAAAGCGCTTTGGCAAAATGGTGGCATAAATTTTAGTGTCGACTTTAAGACGTCAATATTATTTGCAGCTTTTAGCTCTTTAGAGACGTCATCCGTGCTCTTTGGTATGGGTTATACTTTGCAGACTGAGTATTGAACAGAGGTTGATGTGACGGGTACTTTGGCGCGACCAAATTCTGCCCAGACTAATGTATCCTTAGCCACTGTTAATCCACAGTTGTTCCTTCCACTTTGCTCCCAACAGGTGCTTCCGTGGAAGAGCCCACAAACGTAAAATGACTCAAAGCGAATACTTCTCGATCTACACACGGCGTGGGTGCAGTGCAAGTGCACTCATATCGCTAGTACACTGTTAATACTTCTCCCACTACACATGCACATGCGTCTGCGCCGACCCACGTTTATATAAGCTGTAGCATCTGTGACGCATGAAAGATCTTTTTTGCAACGTTCACAGGCGTCTCCCTGATTTTAGGAACTGCAGTTTTCCCTTTTTTTGCGGCTATCAAGCACATGTATTATCCTGATGTATGCGTGCATCCGGCTGACCGAAGTCGCATCATTTACAATTTGGTATACAGAGGCTCAGGTTGTCGATCGGCATCGCCATATGTAGCATTACGCATAACACCAACTCACACAGCACACCGCGTACGCCTATAAAATCATTTGCGTTTTTCGCTGCAACCACAAAGTCCACTTAGCAGACGAGAGTGGCAATGATGACTGCTGCTTCACCTTTCATCCTACTGGACTGCCGTCCCTCAACACAATCGCGCTGCTGAAAGACTTTTGCATACTCTTGTCGGCGGCGTATTCGGTATCCGTGGAGCTCTTGGGGGAAATTCCGCTTGCGCAACGTCTCCTGCCATGTGCACTTTCTTGCCCGCCGATCCTGCCAGATATCTTAGCACCCTTCGTGACATTTGTAGGCTTAATACTTCGACGCATACATCTTGTGTGTGGCTCTGTGTACGTCATACGACACATACGGTCACCCGAATGTTCAATTCTTGATCGACCGCAGACCGTCGATTGGGAAGTCTCCGCTGCTGGCCTTTATGCTGTTACGAACTTACCCTTGAGCAGGACAATTGATTCCATGTTTTCTTTACTATAGAACGAGCAGTTAGCTATCGTTTCTCGGACTGCATTTAACCTTATTAAGATTGTTTTTGAAAAGAAAGTATGTGGGATTTGCCCTTGATCAATATTTATACCGTTCGCATCGTCGTATCCTATACGCATCCAGAAAAAATTATGCTCAAGAGCATAGGACTCAAGCTCAAAGTTTTCCGTAGAGCTGCTCATTCGCCAAGCATTTCATTGAGGGTCGCAATCGTCAGCAAGACGACCACATACATTCTAACTACCACCGTCTATTGTGACTATATATATATTCAAATTCTACACCATAGCAGAATGCGTATACCCTGATTTTGTCAGCGTGCGGAGCAGAGGCTTTACAAACCAGTCTTAATGTATCAAGACGTATGTTTATTTCACAATTGGAAGATATAATTTACATGCGTATCTTACACCGACCATACGCAGTTTGTCTTCTCTCTGGTGCATAGCCATCCGGCACTTATAGATAGATCTTCATTTATTCTCCTTTGTGTGACTTGAAATAAGGTTGAGTAAAACCGAAGTGTCTCACGTGCACGCCTCATGTCCAAGCTGCAGCCAGGAGCACCTTCCCATTCGGCACACCGAGTGGTTTATTAATCGTGAGGACGCAGACATTGTTGAAAGTGAATTTTTCATAGCGGACACTCCCTTCCGGGTCGACGCCCTAGCTGCCAGATTTGGTCGAAATTGTGCGCGATTTGTGTGGTGATACCAAGTTCTAAAAGGTTCGTAGTCGGTGAGCGCAGGACAGAGAAAGGTCTCACTTTGAGGATGATAAAGCCACTGGCGAGTCCACCGGCGAGGGGCCGAAACGCGTCGGGCACGCATTTTGGTAAGGAAGTCATTAACCATGCTTTCTCTCTCTCCTAACGTCATGTCCAAGTCCGTGGTTGTATTCCCCCAACCTTAAACTTTCATCGCTCAATCGCGCCATTTTGTTCTCTTTTTTATAAAGGGACCACTTACTCATCAACAAATGCATGTTGCACTAACTTTTGAACAGCACACGCCTGTTGTTTTCCTTCACCGACGCATTGTCTTCCGCTCATGCGAAAGCAATAGGTGGATCGTCATTAGGTGCATTTATATCCTCGCTTTAAGCCTTCATCTGACCAATCATCGACTGAATTGATATACAATTGTCGGTAAAATGTTGCAAATCTAGCCAAAGAAATATGGGTTGTGGATGGTGATGTCGATTTATGACGCTGTTAAATTTAATTAGTGCTGTATGCTTGAAATGATGGGTTTTGAATCTCAATATGTGGATTGATGAGATAAAACCTGTTGGTTATTCACCATGATGGATCATAATATTATCAGAAATTTTGCATAGGGTGGTCGCATTACCCGATCGCGACTCATATTGTATCAATCAGTACCTGATCGCCGAACGATACGATGTCTTAATTTTGTAGGGTCAAATCGTCGCTGAAAAGTGACTGGTCTATTATAAAAGCTCGATACGAGCAATCCAATGAGAGAAATATGGTGATGTGGAGAATGAAAGAATGTGTGGAGAGAGGACACTAAAGAAATGGTAGATTTGCGGTTGGGAGGTCAATGAATGAACCGATTGTGCCTAAGATACCGAACCGTGTCGGAATTTTCTACGCTTTTATCTTGAAAACCGTGATATTGTGGACCAAGGTTTCATGTGGGCGATAATATGTTCTCGATGGCCTATTGAACTTCATATGCGGATAGGGATCCAGAATTAGATCACGATCGATTGATTGAGTGTATATATGCGAACAAGTAATGATCGCAATTTCTAACCGGCTAATCACGATAAAATTTCGATCAAGGTGAATCAAATGGAGAATACATAATGTGAGGGGAAAGTGATTGCTGCAAGGCGACACACGACGACCTGCTCTAGAGTGAAGGTAGACATGGCCACAAAATAGACCTTTGTCGATCAATAAAAAGACAGTGTTCGTTTTACTGGTTTGAACACGAGTCGACTTCTCTCCGAAGTAGGATGTATTTGACCTTCCGACGTTTCAAGATAGACGTCTTAATCGCCATATAAGTTTCCCCGGGATTGTTTATCCAGGCGCGTGAAGAACACAGAAGATAACCTTCTTAGGTACGATCGGGTGCAATGAAATATTAGCGGTTCAGATAAAGTCGTGCAAAGGCTCAAGTGACCAGAAGGCAAGTAGATCGAGTATCTACATTGAGTATTTGACAGGTCGGTCTATATTAGACCAGACTGTCTCTATCCAGTATTTAACCAGGAAAGAAAGTGATTAAGTGAATGTTTCGGCTCGATTGGTCCAACCTATTTTAGCACCAAGACTATCGGGTTTAATATTGAAACGAGTTCACCGAGAATATTTCAATCCCCCTGCCGACGGCAACGCAAGATGAGGAAGGCTGTATGCACAGAAAAGGAGTATTGATCAATAGTCGGCCGTCCGGGCGCCAGTGAATATTCGGGATCATACCAGTATCTAGTGATCCCAACTATAAAAAGACAAATACACAGAACGCCTTCACTCGCGATTGGTACTGCCAATTATTGGCTTATACGACAGACGTTTGTGTATTTGTTGTTAATCGTAATTAAGGTGTGGTGTAG